GACCCTTCACGCCCTAAGTAAGTCCATCCGAGCTGTTCCCAATCGCAACACTCTCCTTGTGCTAGGAGATTTTAACTCCTCGCTCAAAACCGACAACAAACACGTAGGGCCATGCACGATCCAGGCTTGCAGACTCGGGCATCGCGGATCTAAGGATCTCCAGACCCTACTGTCGGAGCACCAGCTAGTCGCAACCAACACTTGGGGAGTGCATAGACCAGCCACCCACGAACAAGGCAACTCTGTTTCACAGATTGACTTCTCGTTTGTCAGGATTGCACAGTCCCAAGGCCCCGCCAGGTTTTGCCGGCCACTAAGGACCTTCCCAGTTGCATCCTGGAGGGATGGTAGTAGGCATTTCCCCCTTCTTGGTAAACTGAGGCACAGCAGGAGATACTCCGCCCAAGCCTCAAAACCCTATGACCAGCAGGCAATGGAGGACTGCTACAGACACCGCTCCCCGAAAATACAGGCATTTGCCAGGGAGGTAGACTCCCTCCTTCAGGATCATCCCCAAACCTGGCAGAGTCTCCATCAAGCAATGAACTCAGCCCTCGCGACTCACTTTCCCAAGAGAAAGGAAGCAGCACAAAGATCAGATCTCAGCATCTGGGAAGAGCGCTCTGCGTTGCGCTCACTCCCACTAGCAGTCAAGGTCTTAGCAGAGTTCTTGCCCGAGCTGCAGATCCGTATGGTGTTCCGATGCTGGTGCACGTTTTCCCAGCAAAGTGCACAGGCGAGGGTAGCAAAGCGTCACAAGCAGGAGCGGCGGCGGCAGGAAATAGATGAACAACTCCAGCAGGCAGAGCTTAAGTCCAAGCAGGACGGGAGTCATTCCCTTTACAAGGTAATCAAGCGCTTCAGGTCGGGGAGGCCCCAGGAAAGAGTTCAGCTTCGTGATTCTGAGGGTCGCTTCCTTACTGCCAAGGAAGAAAGAAGACAATTAGAGGAATATTCCCTAGACCTGTTTGGAGCAGGGGATGACTTCCCGCTTTCAGGGATACAAGGCAGCCTGCACATCACTGAGCAAGAAGTGCAAGAACAGCTTGGCACAATAAAGCTGGGCAAGGCGGTTCCTAAAGAGAGTCCTCCCGTAGTAGCCTGGCGCTCCCTAGGTCCCCAAGCAATCCGGCTAATCTCGGACACCCTTAATAGGGAAGTCACTGCAGGAAGGCTCTCGGACAGTGTCACCTCGTCACAGATCTCCTGGCTCCCAAAGCCTCCCAAGAAGCCAGACAAACCAACCTCACTCCGTCCGATCGGGGTGATAGCACCTGAGGGTAAGGTCCTAGCCGGACTCGTGAGGAAGAGACTCAAGTCTACCCTCCAGCTAGCAATGACCGGCGTCTCTCAGTTCGGCTTTGTCCCAGGCAGGGGCACAGAGGAGGCTATCTGCAAGGCCCTCACACATGTGGACCAGGCCAGGTTCAGACAGGCCCTCACCACCAGGGCTGCAGGTAAGGGACAACAGGGGCTCAAGCTCAGAGGCAGTCTCACCATGAGCGTGGACATGAGCAAAGCCTTTGACACTGTCAACAGGTTGCGACTAAGAGAGGCCCTGGAAGCCGAACAAGCAGATCCTCTTCTGATAGAGGTGGTAGGCCATCTCCACATCAAAGCCTTGTACAAGATGACAGCCAGCGATCAGAGCTTTGAGATAGCCACACGCAGGGGAATCACGCATTTCGACTCTGCGGCCGGCCTCATGACAGCACTAGGGTACTGCGACATGCTTCTGGATCAGCTGGTAGAGCTTGGGTTCAAGGTCAATCCGTCCAAGTCAGCAATTCAGCCTCGACCATTAGGAAGAAACTCTTTCGCCAGGTCGAGGGAGAGAAGTATGTTGAACTCCCCTCGGGCAGGCTGATATCGCTGCGCTATCAGGTTCCATACTTGGGGGTCATTCTTTCTTATCACGACTATGAAATGAAGACTCTCAAACATCGGCTGTCATCCAGTAAGCTTGCAATGTCAGAAGTAGCCCATGCAGTTCGGAACCACCGAGTCTTATCAGACAGACGTCGTCTGTCGATTTGGACAATAACTGCGTGGGCCTCTGCTCTGTATGCACTCCACGTGGTGGGGATGACACAGCAGGGATTGCAAAAGCTCCATTCACACATGATGTACCAACTCAGATTCGTCCTGCGGAGTTACTCCCAGGAAACGAAGGAATCAAACCAGGAGTTACTCCGGAGATTACGGATTCCTCACGTGAAGGAGCAGCTGCAAAAGAGAATGACCCAGTTTATAAAGAGACAGCAACACTCCGATCCCCAGCTTCTCCCACACTATAAGTTGCGTGCTGAGGCAGTTAGCCAGGCATTGGAAGGCCTCTCCACGGACTTCTCCTCGCACCATGTGGAGGATAGGCTTCTGACCTGCGGTGAATGTGGAGCATGTCTCTCTGGCACCGGAGCACTCCGTCGCCACCTGCAGAAGGCTCACCCAGATTCTCAGCAGTGCCTGAAAGGACCCAAATTTGATCCTATTTTGCATTCAATGCCAGGGTCAGCAACTTGCATCGCCTGTCGAGCAACATTCCGAACAGCGTTTTATCTGCGCAAACATGTCGAAGCATCTACCTGCCCTAGGGTAGAGCTTTTGCTTAGACAGCAGGAAGAGCTACCCTTAGAAGCACAGAACCGGATCTCACTCGTAGAAAGTCTACAGTCTGATGCCCAGGACAATCCAGAAGGCGCCGCTCGAAATCCGGCGTTCCATGATTACCTGATGGAACACTGCGCACTCTGTGGTCAGGTCCTCGTAGGCCAGAAAGGAGCCAAACAGCATTTAAACAAGCAGCATCCTGAGGTGATGGCCAAGCTGGAGAAAACTCTCCAACCAAGACTCAATCAATTCAAGGTCTTCTTCCACAAAGGAGATAGCTGTCGATACTGCAAACTTCGTGTGGATGCCCCGGGTAGACATGCTCAGCAGTGCGTTCCATTACTGCAGGTGCACGTACTGCAGGAGGTAGCGCGCCAGCAGCTCAGCAAGCAGCCCCGCGAATATACTCGAGCAAAGTCCACGGCATCGGCGAAGACAGTCACAAAGAAGCCTTCAGATTCAACGCCAGGAATTCCTCACCCCGTGTTTAGACTGGAAGGCTTTCTCCTGCTAGCCAATACTCGCAACCACTGCTATGCCAACTCAGGTCTGCAGTGTCTCCACTGGCTATCAGATCCTTCAGAGGCGACTTTTCAAGAGGCATCCCGGATCAGTCAGCTTGCGAGAATAACCCCTGAACACAGAGTCTTCTCGGAGCTCACCATGGGCTGGCTCTTTGACGGAGGCCAGCACGACTCTGCTGAGTTCCTGCAGCAAGTGTTTCGGAATCTCTCTGCATCAAGATTTGGACAGTGGGAAACTAGAGCCTCAGTACCGGAAGGCGTGATAGTGGACGAAGAAGGGGGCTCTCCCATTCATCTTGCCACGGCGATCAAGACCAACTTACAGGACATGCTAGTGGCATGGTCGTCTCAGGAGCGCTCATGTGCTCTCATAGAAGCTGCACAGCAGGTGTGCTTAGCCTTGCCGAGATTCGCAGGTGAAGCTAAGGATCACACTCGCATCACAATCCCACAGCAAGTCCAGATCCCTGTCTTCCTGGACCACACATCCCGAGTTTCGTTCTGTACCTACACAGTAGAGGCAGTGATCATTCACCTAGGAATGGAGTCCACTAGTGGCCATTACCGTGCAGCTGTACGTACAGCAGATGCCTGGTATGTTGGTGATGACTCCCACCCCCCTAGTCCCTGTACCCTCGAAGATCCCCTGCTTCAAGAAAATAGCTACGTCATCTTCCTAGCTCGCAGCGCCGTCTCTCACGAGCCCCAGGACGTAGCTAATCTCCCGAGTAATGTCTCTGCAAGAGCTCTTCCAGCGAGCCTTGCGGAGATGCTCCCTTAGGAGGAGACTCTCCCCAACAATCGGAGGAGTTTCTCCCCTTGCCATGTGTGTACAGCTGGTGGAGTTTCTCCCCAGGGGTTTTTAAACAGTAGGAGAACATCAGGTGGAGCTTCTCCCCTCGGGTGGAGTCACTCCCCCTCCTCGTCCTTCCAAAAAGAGAAGCACTGGGCAAAGCGACGGTGGAGATACTCCCCCTGCAGCAAAGGCCAAGAGTGGAGATCCTCCCTCAGGGGACCCCTCTCCACAACAGGCCACCGATGCCGCATAAGACTCTGAAGACACATTCGTGCCAGAGTCTGCAGCTCGAGTCACTGAAGACACGTCCGATTCCGACTTCATTGCTTGCAGCCTTGAGGGGCGGAGCGTGTGCGAGTGCTGTGTTAAGGCACGGCTCGTCATGAAGTGACCGCGCAAGTAGCAAGCAGAGCAGCAGGTCGATCCCTCGCAAAGCGTGGACGTTAAGTTTCACCTCAGACAATATCCTCCCGCTGCGTGTGAATGAAATGTTGTTGTTGTTGTTGTTGTTGTTGTTGTTGCTGTTGTTGTTGGTGTTCATGTTGCTGTTGCTGTTGCTGTTGTTGCGGTTGTTGCTGTTGTTGTTGTTGTTGTTCCAAGCCCGCCCGTGCTGGCTGCCGAAGTGGTGAAATTTCAACCTCCGCCCGTCGCCACACACCCCAACACTCACCAAAGAGTTTTCCGAACCCGCCGAAAATCATTGAGGAGATTTCTAGGCAAAGGCCACTTTTCCACACGCCCCCACAGTCACCAATGAATTTCCCGGTCCGTCAAAAAATCATTGAAGAGATTTGCAAGCGAGGGACAAGCCACGCCCCACGCCCGTGCTGGCTGCCGAATCCGTCATTTTTTCGCTTCTTGTTGTTACCCATGCATACCAACACTTGCCAATGATTTTTCCCGACCTGCCAAAAATCATTGAGGCAGTTTCAGTAAACCTGGGATTTGCCTGGCCGGTTTTTCTGAGATTCTTTGTTGCGTTCCGTTCCGTTCTCGTTCGCGTTCCGTTCCCGGGGTTGCGCGAGCACCGCCGCGCCCTGTGAACCCTAAAGCTTGAGACGCAGGTTCGGATGTTGCTGGACCAGCTCGAAGACGTAAGGCGCTTTACGCACGAGCTGGGCCCCTCCGTGCGAGAGCTTCAGGCGAAGATACCGGTATAGGGGCCTTAATATTTAGAATAGGGTTTGGGGTACATTATATTATAACTGTAACCATAATAAGGAACCCCAAAACCCTGTTCGAAATATTAAGGCCCCTACATTCGGCGGTTTAGGGTTTAGGGTTCAGGGGTTTAGGGTCTTAGGGGTTTAGGGGTTCAGGGTTTGGGGTTTAGGGGTTTAGGGGTTTAGGGTTTGGCGGTTTAGGGTTGGGGGTTCGGGTTTCACAGAGCTGGAGTCTGAATGCGTTTGGCCAACCCCGCAATAATTGTAATGATTTTTGGAAGGCTTGCAAAAATCATTTGGTTTTGTTTCAAAGGAAGGGGTTTGGGGCAATACGCCCAACCGGGCAGGTCTACGACGACTTCTATGTCTTCGATGTCTTAGGGTTCTGTGCAGGAGGACAGGACCCAAATCCTCCAAAAGGGGCAGGACCCAAACCCCTTGACGACGACGCCAAAAGAGGACAGGACCCTCATCCTCTGCGGGGCAGGACCCGACCCCAATGGCGACGAAGAGACCTCAGTTGGGAAGGACAGGACCCAAATCCTTCCAAGGGGCAGGACCCAAACCGCGGACGACGACTTGTTAAAAGGGGGCAGGACCCAAACCCCCGACGACGATTTGACGACGAGACCACATGCTCTCGTGCCGAGTGCTGTAGCATGTCAACCCTAAAAGTCTCGTTGAGTAGAGCAAACCCACCAGCTGTTTAAAGTCTTTCCAAAACCGCCCTGAACTTGAACTTCTCAAACAGTGGCAACTTCGCAGGGCGCAGCCAGGCTGAATGAGTTTTCCAAAGCTTGCAAAAATCATCGAACCCATTCTTGCAAAAATCATCGAACCGATGTCTCGTCCAAAGCAGCATAAGCAGCGATTTGGCACTGAAAACCCAAATCGCGCGTTTGGCGTTTCCAACCATTGATAAAGAGCGAATAAGAAGCGATTTGGACTTGCGATTTCAAATCGCTGCGTTTTGATTTGGCGATTTAATCTACTAAGACCATGCTATATAAGGCTTTTGGGCTATTTTGATCCCTAGGGTTTCTGGCACGACATGATAGAGCAGTCTTACTTATCTGGTGACTCAGGAATATTCATTAAATCATCTACTCTCCAAGGAGACCTCCTTCAAGTAGGGAAGGCTTCTTGTAACGGAGTAAGGATGATTGCTGACTCCAGGGCTGTTGGAATCTGTGGATTTGACTTGGCCGCGAGGCTAAGAAGAGCCTTGCATCCCAAATCCCTCAGGCCGAATATTAGTGTCAGAATAGGGAATGTAACATCCCTTTGTGGCACCTGCGAGAGTATATGGTAGTATCATATATCCACCCGACTTTCTATTCTGAGGCCCCTCTGTTTTGCTCCCACCCCCGACAAGAACACAAAAATCCTAAATCCCCAGGGACTCCTTGGGATGTTCGGGAGCGTAATTTTACAGTTTATGTTTTAGGGCTTCTGAGGGTTTAGGGTTCAGAGGTTCAAGGGTTTAGAGTTGAGGGTTTAAGGTTTAGGGCTATTTAGGGTTAGGATAGTAGTCCGAAAAGATTTACCTCCAGGGGCACACAGCTTTTCTAATGAACAAGGCCGGTATACTGCCATCAAGATAGAGGAAGTACAGAAGCACCCTAAACAGTGAACCGTAAAACCTGCTATGAACCAGACCCAAATCCCAAGCCCTGAAACCTAAACCCCTGTAACCCTAGACCCCAAATCCCATGGCCGATGGGCCTTATGTAGGCCATGTAGGCTCAGACGATTGGGCAGACATAAGAAGGAGCTCCAAAAGAAATTCCCAAGCCAGGTCGAGAAAGTGCTCCCTTCCGAAGGCAGGGAGACTTCAGGGTTTCGGGTCAAACTTCGACGGTTTAGGGTTTAGGGTTTAGGGTTTAGGGGTTTAGGGTTTAGGGGTTTAGGGTTTAGGGTTTAGGGTTTAGGGTTTAGGGTTTAGGGTTTAGGGTTTTAGGGGTTTAGGGTTTAGGGTTTAGGATCCTACAAGGTAATCCCTCAAAGGAACTACTAGGGGGCCTTAGAATAGTGGCCCAAATCAGTACCAATGCTATTTGTGCAGAGGGGGGGGTCTTAACCAGGTTCCGACAGTATCTCTTTTCATGCCTGCAAATAGCAATGGCGTCATAGAAGCTAGTTTCGAGATGTCTTTATGCACCAAAAGATGAGGGCAAGTGCTACATGTTGACATCGAAGCTTCTGTGTTTAGCCGCTTCAGATTACTTGTGGCTGAGGGTGGAGTGGCATAGGAAGGACGCTGCATGCAAGAGACTCAATGCATACGTTGCAGCCCCCTGCCATTTTTCGAATGCTTCCCCCCGTCTGCAAAACTTGCTACAGCATGAGCCCCAGACTCTTAAAGCTATACTTACTAAAGCCGAAGCTCCAAGCCGTAACCCCACGTACACCCTGCTGCAAATCCTAAGCGCTAAGGCCCACCATACGGATATAAATCCGGCATGACCCATAATACGGAATATACCATAATTCCCATAGTTTAGGGTCCTTAAGGTAATGCAGGATTTTTATCATCAACCATAGGAGCCGCCAGTTCGCATCTCCAGCAGGTGCCTTTGCTGCCATTCTGGTCGACGGAACTGCCCTAGCCTCGGGAGTTTTGACCAGGCTGTTCAGTGGTACGCTTTTTTACTTTCAGGTTTCTGGGTTCCAAACCATAAACTAGAAGCTTATAAAGGATGTACTTTTTCCCAGTGCGTTACTGAACAGCCTAGGAGCAGACAGTTCCAAAGCCGCTTTGGCCTTCGGCTTTGGTCGGGTTTAGGATCTAAATTGCAGAACCACCACTACTATTGCTGAGGGCTCGCTGTAGTTATGCTGGCATATTCGGACCCTTATAACCTTCTAGGATGCCCAGTAGTACCCTTATTCCCTTTTTGTAGTCCTAGGTTCCTTATAAAGTTACCCAATACCAAAAAGAGAGGCCTTTTATTTTTATTCTTGGGTTACTGGGTATCCTAGCCTTAAACCCGAGAGCTTAAGGACAGGTTTTAAGGTAACAAGACTCGGCGAGGCGATTGCGCTACGTATTCTCCCTAAGGGTCCAAGTACCCAGACCCTCCAAAACCCCTTAATTAAGGAATATACCTAGGGTTCCTTAAAGGGATCTATAAGGGATCTATAGGGTTTAGGGTTTAGGGGACTCCAAGACCCCTTAATTAAGAAATATACCTTAAATCATATTAGGGATCCTGCTATAATTTAAGGTATATTCCTTAATTAAGGGGTTTTGGAGGCTCTGGGTACTCCCTATTATGGGACTGTAGGGCCTTTACTAGGTATCGAAAACCATAAAAAGGGCTGCTGGGGGACCCCTAGGGTCTGAGCTTGCCTTCGAAATAGCAGTCGCCTGACTGCAAGGGTCACGGTTTAGGGGTTTAGGGTTTAGGGTTTAGGGGTTTAGGGTTTAGGGGTTTAGGGTTTAGGGTTTAGGGTTTTGGGTTTAGGGTTTAGGGTTTAGGGTTTAGGGGTTAGGGTTTAGGGTTTAGGGTTTAGGGTACCTAGGCGTTTCGTTGCACATGTGGTGCAGGTTTAGGGTTCTATCGTACATGCTGATTCGCAAGTAGTTTGGGCGGGCATCTCTGACTACTAAAGTTTGAAAGGTTCCTAAAGGGAGCCCTTATACCAATTATCCCTTTTTTGGTCAATATACCTCAGATTTTAATTAGTACGGATCCCTACTACATGTTCAGGTCTATTCCATAATCAATGGGTGTTGGAGTCTCTGGGTAGAGCCCTTACAGAACCCTTAGAGGCACCCGTCGCCCTTCACCGCAGTTGGCGATGCCCAGGTCGTCGCCTGGGGAGACGAGGAGTTCGGAGGGGACTGCAGAGAAGTTCAGGCCCGCTTGTTTCGTTTGTTAGTAGGATCCCTTATATGATTTTAAGGTATATTCCTTAATTAAGGGGTTTTGGAGGCTCTGGGGACCCAGAAGAGGGTCCAAGTACTCCTCATAATGGGACTTTAAGGCCTTTTTAGGTATCCAAAACCATAAATAAGGACTATTTGGACCCTTAGGGTAAGGGTTCAGGGAATAGCAGTGTGTGTGTGTGCCGGGTTTGATTTGAGTTTTCGGGGTTAGGGTTGTCTTGTCAGCACAGGTGGGGAATTCGTGTTTCTTCGCTTTCACGGACCCCTTTGTGGCAGCATCTTTCCGGTGATGTCACCAACAAAGCAACGATACTCTACCTAGACGCGAGAATGAATGTGGTACCTTTTTCCTGAGAACCTGTACGATGGTTCGGATCCAAGAAAAAGAAACTCAGATAACCAAACAAGGTACTTGAACTGAGTGTCGAGGTACATACGGGCTCAAGGGACTTAGTAAGTAGAGCAAAATTGGCTTATCAGTGCCGTAAGTAGGGTTATCTTGGTTACAACCTTACTTGTGACCTTACTACGTCCCAGAAGCCAAGCCTGTTTGTGTATTTTGGAGAAGCAGCTTCGAGGTCAGGAACTCGAGCCAGTCACAGAGCCGGTCCAAAACCCTAAAGCCACAAACCAGCGGGTCACTTTTGTGTTTCTTTACTGGAGCCCTTGTAAGTGAGTTTAAAGGATGCAGCGGCGTCTTATAGGCATTTTATGGGGTCGAAGTGGTTCTAGCCACAGATCCCAACATGCCTTCATGAAAGAGTGTGCTTCATATTGTTGCAGATGGCTTTTACTGTGAGCGAAGTTATTTCGTCTTTTAGCGAGGATTGGGCTTTGAGGGAAGTGCTCGGTGAGGCACAGCTGACGAACGTACAGCATCTGCAATCCAACGGCCACGCCTATGCTGCAATTCGCAGGGATGGTTCTGCCCGCTTGGCTGAAAACTGAGTGGTGTTAATAGCTCTAGCATGGTTCTTGCATGGCTATTGTGGTGCTCGCGAGCAATAGAAGTGCAATTTTCCTTCGGGACGTTCGATGTTACCCTGAGCCCTAGCCCCTGTACCCTTAACCGTTCTGAAACCCCTAAGCACGACGCCCTCTACCTAACCCAATCCAAAGCCCGAATCCCTATACCGGAAGGAAGGCTTACGATAAGGGCATTATATTGGGTACTAGGATAAGCCTATAAGCGTTTTGGGCTTAGTGAGTTTAGAGTTGAGGGTTGCGGCTCCTCCCCTTGACCGTACGAACTCAACCTCAAGCACCGAAACCCTTCACCCTAAATGAGGATCCGGTTCGTTACCCTAAGGGTCCATGTACCCATATAGAGATACATGTGCCCCAAAGTACCCATATAGGGACTACATTTTGGCCAATGTATATACTATATGAGTACATGGACCCTTAGGGTTACTTGAGGTGTTGGTGCGTTCTGTGCTCAGCTTGACTTGAGTCCTTGAGGATAGCCAACAGCTGTTCCTTACTTAAACTTAAAGCATGTGAGTTAGTCAGTAGATTCCAAAGCATGGTGCCAGCAAGGGGCAAACGCATGTATGAAGCCCACGTCGAGCCCCGTTTACCAACACCCTTCCCTCCTTCTTCAGGATTGACATAGAACCCTCTTATACGATCATGAAATCCTTGGAACCAAATTGATTTGGGTTCCCTGGAAAACCAAAAGCCGCCGCGAACCCCATAAACCCTCAACCCTAACACCCCAAACCCTAAAACCTAAAAACCTAAAGCCCTAAACTCTCCCTAAACCCCCTAGCTCTAAACCCCAAATCCCTAAACCCCAAACCCCAAACTCTAAAACTTACAACCCTGAACCCTCCCTAAACCCCAAACCAGTAAACCCCAAACCCCTAAACCCCAACTCCCCAACTCCCCAAACCCCAACCCCTAAACCCCAAACCACTAAACCCTAAATCCCTAAACCCTTTAACCCCAAACCCCTAAACCCGATCCCCTAAGCCCCAAACCCCTAAATCCCTAAACCCCTAAACCCCCAAACCCCCTAGCCCCTAAACCCCTAAATCCCTAAATCCCCAAATCCCTAGACCCCTAAACCCCAAGCCCCTGATCAGCAAGGTTGTCACCTGGGGAGATCCCGACTTCGGTGGCGACAGCAGCTATGTCCAGGAGCGACAGAGCATTTTTCAGGGTTCCTTTAAAAGGGGATCTACAAATAAGGGTACCTTTAAAGGGGATCTATAAGGATTCCTTTAAAGGGGATCTCTATTCGGGTTCCTTTAAAAAGGGATCTATAAGGGTTCCTTTAACACGGATCTATGAGGGTTCCTTTAACACGGATCTATAAGGGCCCGTTTAAAAAGGGATCTATAAGGGTTCCTTTAATAAGAGATCTATATTCGGGTTCTTTTGAAAGGGATCTATAAGGGTTTCTTAAAAAGGGAATAGTACAAGGGTTCCTTTAAAAAGGGATCTATAAGGGTTGCTTAAAAAGGGATCTACAAGGGTTCCTTTAAAAGGGGATCTATATTCGGGCTCCTTTAAAGGATCTACTGATGTAAGGATTTGGGTTGAAGGCTTTTGGGTTTTTGGGTTTAGGACTTTGGGCTGCAGTAGGGTTTGGAGTTTCGGGTTCATGAGGTTTAACTTGGGTACGGCCCCCACTCAGAAATAGTTGAATAATATTCACAATATAGATATATTAGGACCTTAATAGTAGCCCTATTATAGACTCTTACTGTATGGGGGCAGTACCTAAGGTTTATCAGTTTGGGTTCGGGGTTGTGTTTGTAGGTCGAGGGTTTAGGGCTACCCTAAACCCTATAGATCCCTTCTAGGAACCCTTACAGGAACCCTTGTAGATGTTTTTCCAAGGATGCTGAAGTTTGGATGAAGGGTTTAGGGTTTTATGGAGGTGGAGTCTCGGGGTACAGCGCAGTGAGGCTTTGGGGTTGTAGGGGTTCGGGTTGAGCGGGATGGATCGAAGCTACTATTCTGCAGGATGCCCGAGTTAGGACCCAGAGACTCCAATATCCCTTAATTAAAGAATAATTATTCCTCAAATTATAGTAGGATCCCCAATATGATTTAAGGAATATTCCTTAGTTAAGGGACATTGGAGTCTCTGGGGAATCCGACTTTGTGTTTTTCACTCCAATCGTAGTATCCTATGCCCCGAAGTTTCGATTCGAATCATCAGGGCCTCTACCTTATAGTAGAAGCCCAAAAGTTGGAAACCCAATAGCCTCAATCCTTAAGAGTAATGTATAAGGAAGCCCAGCACTACTTGACCTTAATCCGGTTTCCAACTTTATGGGATTTACTTTGGGTACGGCCCCCACTCAGTAACAGTTGGATAATATTCATAATATAGATATATAAGGCCCTTAATAGTAGCTCCATTATAGACTGTTACTGTATGGGGGCCGTACCCAAGGTTTACTGTAGGCCGATTCAGGGTCTCGGCTTAGGTAGTTCATTGAGCCACGCCCTGACTCGAAGTGTATTTAAACATCTCCTACCCTCTTTCTAAGACATTTACAGGTGGGTAGTTTCCGACAAGCCTCCCATGCCACTCCTATAAGGTAAAGGGGGTCTTATGGGAGTACAATGGAAGAGGAACTACCTACCTGTAAGGGGCTTCTACCCTCTTGCAAAGATACCGCAGATGGATGACGCCCTGCATGTGCCTTGGGTACCCTAAGGCACTGGAGTTCTGGCTTGTTATGTATTGTTGTTTCTTTGCAGGCTCTTGTCAACTCGCAGTATCATCTTCCAGAGGTCAACCCTACTTCAGCTGCCGGCAGCAGCGCCGGGATACGAATGGAGGCAGGTACCAGTGGTGCCGGTGCAGCCACCTTTGCCGCCTCCCTCAACACCTGCCCCGATTGCTCCTGCTGTGCATGTACCTCAGCAGCAGACTACCTGGAATCGCCAGCCCTGGCGAGGAGGAGGCCAGCAGAAGCAGGGCCAATGGAATAAGCGCTGGAACCAGTGGCATCGGTCCGGCCTACAACTATCCATGAACCTCCAAGTATGCCTCACCGTTATTTACATTGCATTCCTTAGCCTGAGAGGCCCCACAAACATATCCCTAGACTCTAAACCCTAAACCGTATATACCTTGTTTGAGACTACCTTATGAGCCCCTTAAAGAATCCCAGGAAGGCCCGAAACCCTCAAACGCAAACCGAAGGAAGGCGCAGAGTCAGTAGCCCTAAGGGCTCGATGTACCGATGTAACATAAAATACCCAGAGCCTCCAAAACCCCTCAATTTAAGGAATATACCGTAAATCATAGTGGGATCCTGAATATAGTTTAAGGTATATTGCTTAATTGAGGGGTTTTGGAGGCTCTGGGTAGCCACCAAGACACGAAACCTATTGAGGTCCTAAGTATACCAAAAGGTACACGGAGACTTACAGTAGGTCTGGGGCAGCTCAGAACGTTTGCAAGGACAGTTTGAAGGACATCCGACAGATCCAAGCAGCTACTGGGCCGTTGGATTTAGGTCCTTTAGGGGTTCCCTTTCCGACTTTGCGATAATGTAAGGGCAGGCTTGGGGCGGGGGGGGGGGGGGGGGTCGCGTTCCGATTTAGGGCTGCAGGGTCACTTACAGTTCTGAGGCATTGTCATTTCTCGCCCTGAAAGGGCTTCGTAGGGGGATTGCAAAGCAAAGGTTGTCTAGGGCCTTTCTATCTTATTGAGTTTCACTGGGCTTGAGGATTTCCAGGTTTTGTCTTGCCTGTTTGGGATACTTGTTGGCTTGAATGGCCAGGGTCGTAAACTAATAACATTTAGTCTAATGACATGATGAACCAAGTGAAGGAAGTACTGGCAGATGTAGGTAAGGTACTCTCCTTGCCTCCAAGGCCCTAGCCCTAAACTTCCTAAGCTAAACCTTATACCCTCGAGAACCTTCTTCAGATCCCTAAAAGGAGCCCCTAAACCGCCCCAATCCCCTAAAACCTGGACCTAAACCCTACACCTCTAAACCTTTTATCAAACCCCCAAACCTAAACCTCTAAAACAAAACCCAAACCCTAAACCGCAAAGTCTGCAAAGTCTCCAAAAGCTTCTAGTTGCATCCAAGACTTGCGGCAACAGAAGCGGCGGCTTCGCAGCGATCCGCGCTGATGGCTGTGGGGTGCGACGGGCTGTGGCTTTCTTTTTGGGAGTCCTTTTTTGCAGGGTCCATGTACCCAAATGTTATATACTTCGGCCTTACAGTATTCCCTATGTAAGTACTTTGAGGCCATTTGGGCACATGGACCTTTGGGGCTTTTTATGAGATCCATCCATTCAAGGCTTCCTTTGAGGGTTCAGGCTACAGGCTTCCTTGAAAATACAGGGTTTAGGGTTTAGGGTTAAGGCTTCCTTTAAGGGTTTAGGGCTTATAGGCTTTAGGCTTCCTTTGAGGATTCCTCTAAGGCTTCTTTGAAGGGTAGTTGTTTAAGGGCTCTGTATGGGTTCTGCATGGGTTTGAAATGGGTTTGCGGTTAGGGTTTCAGGACGAGATGTACCCTAAAGTGGCTTCAGGTTTGTCAATGTGCTCCTTCTGCATCTTCAACTTGATGAAGAGTGGTCCGGACAAGAACAGGCGAATACAGTAAACCCCCTAAAGTTGGAAACCGGATTAAGGCCAAATAGTGCTGGGATTCCCTATACATTGCTCTTAAGGATCGAGGCTATGGGGTTTCCAACTTTTAGGCTTCTATTGTAAAGCAAGCTAGAAACGAGCTCCAAAGACACCCCAAACCCGAAATCCTCACCCCGAAACCCTGCACCCTAACTCCCCCCCAAAACCCTGAAACCCGAATCCTCAACCCCGAGGATTCAATCCCTACGCTTGATGGGGTTCCCTTAAAGGGATCGATACGGGTACCTTTAAGGGATCTAAAGGGTTTTTGGGGTTTAGGATTTAGGATGATAAAAATCCCTGCATTACCCATGACAAGGAATATACCATACTTCCCATAATTCAGGGTCCCTAAGGTAATGCAGGATTTATGTCATGAACAGTAAACCCAGAGCCCCAAAACCCTGGATTCTGAAGTGTACATCCTAAATCCTGAACCCTGAACTGTATGGCAGGTGATCTGGGGCGGCCGCTTCTACAGCGGACGGCCCGAGTTGGAGGAAGGAGCACCCGGCGACTACGAGATACAGGACAGCTATGGTTTAGGACTTAGACCTCATATTTCAACAACCCTAAACCCTAGACCTGACCATGTGTTGTTGTTCTTTGTTTGTTTTGCAGTGTTCATGGCTTAGCCTAATTATGGTTGCCTATTCTCCTGTTGCTTGTTCTGAGGGTTTTGCGTAGATTTTCAGAGGACTTAGTGGATACTGGCCTGAGGTTGGGGTTTCTTCTCCGGGTGTGTGCTGAAGGGTTACAGGTTTTCAATGGACACCCTCTGGGTCGGTTCTTGGTCTGCCTGCTCGCTTTTTTTTACAGTAAAACCCCAAAAAGTTGGAATCCGGATTAAGGCCGAACAGTGCTGGGATTCCCCAAACATTACTCTTAAGGGTTGAGGCTACATGGTTTCCAACTTTGGCTTGGGGCTTCTACTGTAGTGTGTTGGTGGGCCTTGCCTGATTGGTAATTATCAAGTCTCCCATCTTGCAAGACCCCATTGCCGATTGTAGATTCCTCATAGAATCCCCAAAAGAAGGAGCGAGCTCTGAGTTGCAACTTTAGCTCCAGGTCTTTCTACGTGGATGCTACATGTAGCATGTTATGCCTTGTTTCCAAGCTCTCCAAAGACCTTCCCTAAACCTGCGTCAACCAGGGATCCATGAATGAGAAAGTACTGTTGAGATGCGCTGATGCAAAGCCCGAATCGAAACTACCCAAGCCCTAAGGGTCCATGTACTCATATAATGTAGTCCCTATATAGGTACTTTGGGGCCCATGTATCTCTATCTGGGTACATGGACCCTTATACCCTAAACCCTCATCGAACCCTTATAGATCCCTTAAAGGATCCCTTATGGTACCCTTAAAGGATCCCTTAAAGGATCCCTGGAGAGTTAGGATCATCTGGGTACATGGACGCTTAAGGAAACGGCCCCGAACCCCTTCGTTCTAGGACTCTCGGAGCAATAAAATCCGCTGAGAGCAAGTGGGGCCCATTGCATTTTGGAGGATAAGGAGCGCTTTAGCTACGGTTGATGATATAAATCCTGCATTACCTTAGCGACCCTGAACTATGGGAATTATGGTATATTCCTTGTCATGGGTAATGCAGGATTTATATCATCCTAAACCCTAAACCCTAAAAACCCTTTAGATCCCTTACAGGTACCGTTATCGATGCCTTTAAAGGAATCCCAGGAGTTAGAATCCCTCAACCCATTGGGGCATTACTTGGAGGATCGTGGGACTTACTAAGTAAGCTTATCAGTACCTTAATTGGGGTTATAAGTATAGTTGCCCTAATAATAACTCTAGTTACTAAGTCCCAGGATCCTTTAAACCCTAAACCCCAATAGATCCCTTAAAGATCCCTTATAGATCCCTTTAAGGAACCCTTAAAAGTTACTAAGTCCCTTAGCCCATTGGGGCATCAGGGTTGAAGAACCCCAAGGCCCCCCTAAGGTTTACCTGTGAGGTCTTTGGGGTTAGGGTGTGACTCTCAAAACCCTCAACCCTTAGCCCTTAACCCTTACCTAAAGCCTATAAACCTCAGCCTAAACCGTAAACCCTATAAACCCGAAAAAATGGAACATCACAACCTTTTCAGGCCACGATGGGGGATTTTTGCGCTCAGCGTCCAGATGGCGTTCTCGTGACGTGGGGAGGTTGCCCGACCTTACGCAGTACCGTTCAAATACCCTGAACCCTAAGCCCTAAACCCTAAGCCCTAAACCCTAAACCTGAGCCGTAAACCTTAAACTCCCTAAACCCTAACTGAATGGGTGATGTGGGGTTTGTTGTTGATTTGCAGCTTTGGTCCGTGTAAGACGTGTCTCCTTAATGACAGGTGTCGACCTATATCAACGCTTCACCTGCTAACTCGCATTGACGAGGCTTTCGTTACGGCGGCACCAGCTGTGGCGTCCAGGCAACGGTTTTTTCCGGATATTGGCCGGATCAACAGAACCGTCTAGGGCTTCGGGTGTCGGCCAGTAATCCTTTGAAGTTTTAGACCCATTCAGAGCAAAGGAACAGGGATCCTTACTATCCGTACATCAAGGTGGATGTAACTGACCGTAGCGTCATACCCTACACGACATGCATGAGCTGCACGAGTCAGAACAATACTACAATCTCTTGATCCAGAGTGTCCGAAGAACTGCAGCACACACACACACACCCTGACTGGTTTCAATCACCACTTAGATATTCATCACCAGAAGCATTGTCTCGAACAGCGGTGCAGCTGGAGGTCTGAGCAGAAGGAGCAATTTTCAACACACACACACACACACACACATGAAGTTGTTGTTGTCGTCGTGGTGGCAGTCGACATTTGGATCGGAGGAAGAAGAGGAGAAGGAGGAGTGAGAGGAGCAGCAGTAGCCAGAGCAGCAAGCACAACACTCGGTGAAAGGTCAATGACAATGAAAGACCGACTACAAACAGGGCAGCAGATTACATGGCTCTGTTCTTGCAGGGGTCACAACCTGTCGCATTGCAGCCTCAGAAGTACAGCCGGAGGACTAGGTGTGTACTTTGTGTTCTGAACCAGAAGAGAAAACCCTAGACTGCATAATTAATACACTTTCTTAGTCTCTTGTTCGACTCATTGGATTGGGCATCCTTGGCCCTTGTTGACCAGACAGAGCGCAGGGAAGAGGATGTGCATACGCTCCCCACTAGGGCCTAACAAGGGGGCACCCAGGGTTTTTTTCCCTCTTCTGGAAACTGAGCGGCAAGAGAAATGCAAGCATCCAAAGCTGTCGGTCAGGCGCAGCTCCAAGATGTCAGACAGATCCAGGCACCAAATCGCGTGAGAGGTGTAATCCCTGAACCCTTAACCCTGACGGGTTCGTAGCGAGTTTCCGGATGGTTTCGACCCCTTCTGCTCGAAATGGCCCCAACTGCCACTCACTTACAATAAGTGGGTGACTGTCCTTGTGTCTTTGTTAGTCATCATCTTGACATTTAGACCTCGAGCCCTAAGCCATTGTGCTAAATGCCCTAGTTGTGGCATCGCTTTTTCTTGTACGTTTGTCGCAGAACGGGTGATTAAAGGTCATGCACACCCTTTAAAGAATCCTAGAAACCAGAAGAAAATCCTAAGTCCAACGGTATTGGGGGAAGTTCTCTCTCCCTAAGGGTTGGATATCTAAAAACGCCTTAAAGTCCTAGTATGAGGAGTACTTCTGTTGATGATAGAAATCCTGCATTACCTTAAGGACCCTAAACTATGGGAATTATGGTGTATTCCTCATTATGGGTAATGCAGGATTAATATCATCAACCGTTGGACCCTCTTCTGGGTCTGTGTTGTCCAGAACCGCCGCTCCCAAAGCTGTTGAAACCTTGACTAGGATAGCCTGAAACCTAAGAATAAAAAGGCCTCTCTTTTTGGTATTGGGTAACTTTATAAGGAACCTAGGACTACAAAAAGGGAATAAGGGTACTACTGGGCATCCTAGATGACTCCGACGAATGTAGCCTGAAACCATCTTTGCATATGGGTGGTTGTCAAAATTAGGGTCCCTTTTGGGGTACCCCAAAAAATAGGTGCCGTACTACATTAGGGACCCAAAAAGGGACCCTAATTTTGACAACTACCCATATGGGAGCTTGATGAATTTCATGGTTCTGTTTTGGCGGACCCTTTCAATGAGCACCCTTTCTTCAGGCTTCTTTGTTTTGGGGAAACCGCGGTATGGCTTTGTGGGTCGTCCCCTATTCTTGGCTTGGAACTACCGGGAAGCCCTTTGAGTGCCAATAGACAAGGTCCGCATACCATAGGGCCACGATACATATCTAGTACAAGTATTCCGTGGAGTGCCTTGGCATATTTCGTGCGGAATTTCATCCCTTTTCACACACTGGAATTCCTGTCTGCAGACGTCCCAAGCCCCTGACTGAGAATGCAATGCCTAGGACCCAGAGTGGGCCCTTATTCCCTTTTTAAGGGTTCAGGTTCCCTTATAACTCCCTTTAAACCAAAAAGGGCACCCGTTTTGTTCCTAGGCTACTCTTCGGTCTAGATGTCATCAATCCTGAACTCGACAATCTCGTGCGACAAACACCTAAACCCATCAACCATCTTGAGGTAACTCTCGCTGGGCTCTTTGCCGCCGTCTTGGCGGATGGAAGCATCGCACCTTTGCTAAGAGACGTACTGTTTCGAGGTTTTGGGCTTAGGCCTTGCGGGTTTAGGATGCTGCTACCGAAACACCCGAGAATCGTGTAAGTTAGTCTGACATTTCATTCTGAAAGGTGAAAGTTCTGATCCCATGGGTCTTGGGGAAGTGCGGACATTCGTAAGGTCTACTGTTTGCCAGGTTGTTCGGTTGTTCTACCTACAATCTCCATTACACTTGTTGGTGTAATTTACACCGTGCTATGGTTAGGACATGTACGACCACACAGCAAACACAGGTAACCAACAAACGTGAGCTATTATGTAGACTACATAGGTAGACTTCTATAAACGCCTTAGAGCAACCTTTAGAGAAACCCGTTTCGGGTTGGGGGTTTACGGTTTCGGGTTGCAGGTTTAGAGTAAGCCCTAGACCTAGGCTTTGGGCGATAGGGTTCAGGGCTTAGGGAAGCCTTTGCTCAAAAGTGTTCAACCCGTTGGCAGCAGGTGCCTATGCCATCCTTATAAACCTCGGACCATACCCGTGGATGCATTAATCATTAACCCATGCCGCTCCAAAGGGTGGGGCCAGTAAGACCTACTACTTTTGTAGGGGTTGGGGCCACAGGTAGACCCTAAGCCGGGACACCCCTTCACCAGAACATGTTTCGGTATCTCACAAAGCAGTCGGTTCACTGTCTGTGTACAAAGCTGACAGAGTCTCCGACAAGCTTGTGTAAGCTTTTCCCAGAAGCCCATGAGATTACCTACTGCACAGCAGGTTGCAGTTTGTGGGCCATCCTTGTTAGCCCAATACACTGATTGCATTTAGGCCCCCTTCATACAAGGAGCTGGGTTTCTAGGCCCTGAGCTCTAAACTCTAAACTCTGAGCGCTTTGTGCTTTAGCGGGAAGGGTGAACCTCCGACATCCAGGGCCCCGGCCGTGCAGGTCGTGTGGGGAGCGCCCGCTGACGATGCACCCACGTAGCTGTGGCAGCCACTTGCTGTTTAGCCTTAATAACTGTTTGCTATGTTTAGGGTCTGGGGTGTCTCGGGTGCTGAGGAGTTACGGGTGTTTAGGGTTAAGGGCCAGGGGCTGCAGCTTCCACCGGGTTTGCACGTGTCGTAGGTTACTTCTTGCTTCGCTTGTGTGCGAACCGTGTAGTGTGCAGATGTCCCTTCTTTTCCCAACGACCCATGCGGCCCAAAGCTTTGTCTATAGTTTACGGCAACTAGCAAAGACCTAATCTACCTACAAGCAGGTAGACGTCGTATGCTTGTATATACCGTCGCGGTCATCATTGACATCCCGAGAGCCATCTAGAATCGTAAACCAAGAAATCTAAACCATCCAGAACCGTACCCAAAATGTTACTTTCAATACCAAAGACCATGCTCCGAAGGGTTTTTGCCACGAAAAACGCCCTACCAGTTTTCCGATTCGGAGCTAGACTTTATAGGGCTTAGATCGCAACGCTAGGTCCACAGTTTGAAGAAGGACCTCGCCTACCCCGAAACCCTTAAAACCTATAAACACCCTAAACCCAGACCCTAAATTCCTATATCCTCTTGGCCCCTACACGCTCCAAGCCCTAACTAAACCCTAAACCCATTCCTAAACCCTACACCCTCAGCATAAGCCCCGAAACCCGAAGCCCCTATATGTAGCTTCTTTTGAGGAGCTCTTAAAGGTGCCCTTAAAGGAACCCCTAAAACCCTGAAAAGCTCTTGAGACCGAACCGGAGGTCCAACGAAGTGATTCGATCGACATACCAACCCTGGGCCCATCATTTGTTGTTTGAACCTACGCCGGTTTAGGGTTTAGGTTTTAACCCACTTTTTCAAAGTCTCACCAAGATGGATCTTCCATTCATGTCAATGTTTCTTTTCGTCAGGAGTCAGGGGTTGGGGTTTAGGGTTTAGGGTTTAGGGTTTAGGGTTTAGGGTTTAGGGTTTAGGGTTTAGGGTTTTAGGTTTCGGGGGGAGGGGAGGGGGGGTTAGGGTTTCATGAAGCTTCGAGTCTCGTCGGGGTTAGGCTTTTTGCAGGATTTAGGGTTTAGGGTTCAAAAAGGGTCCCTGTCATGGTTCCTACAAGGATCCTATAAGGGTTCTGTAATTACAGTTCGGGTTCAGGGTACGGGGTGTAGGCTTTCTGGTTTCATCCTTTTAGGTTTGGTGCTTTGGGTTTAGCTGTCCGAACTCTGCGGCTTAGAGTTGAAACAGTTGACAATTTGCTCGGTATCTCATGGGACCAGCTATAGTGTTTGATGTGGAGATGCTTGAAATGATGGGGCCAGTTAGCTTGGTGTTGCGACACCGCGGGCGGTCCGACGAGAAAGGATAGGGTGAGGGCTGCTTAGGTCTGGTAGTTTAAGGTTTCCGTGTTCAGGGAAGTCGAGCTTAGAGGTTTAGGGGTTCAGACTGCTTATGCTCGGGGTTTAGTGCTCATGCAGTCTATACTAAGTTAAAAAGAGGGCCTAGACTTGTAAATTCTTTTTTGTGTATGTACGGTCTCTTTTCGGATTCGCTTCGCCTCCAGAAACTCAGAAGGACCCCCCGCCCACTTCTCCGGCAGGGTCTCAGAGGTTTGCTGCTTCGAAGTTTAGCGTGTAGATGCACGAGAGACTAGCACTACACCTGAAATCCTAAGCCCAAGACCAGAAGTGTTAATGCGGCCTTAATAGAACAAAGAGGCAGCACTATTGCCCCCCGTGGGTTGCTACTGAAGATCCACGTGAGTTTAGGGCTTAGGCTTTTGGGATGCCCAGTGGGTTCAAGTACCAGTATAGTATATACTCAATGTACTAAGAAGCCTAAACTCAAACTCTTAAGCACAGTAGTCCATAAGGTATGCTCTAGCTTGACACTGACTGAAGGGGAGAAGGTTCAATGAGCGGTGCCTACCTCTGTGACAGACCGCCGTCCTTAATCCTAGGACGTGCAAGTATCTTTTAGGTTTAGCTTTCGGAGTGTAGACTCATGTCTAGCACAGTTTTTAGTATACCAATGGCCCGGCCCTGAACCTATGGCAGTGAACCAAGGGGCATGTGGACTTTCAGGGAAGTCGTGGTTCTCAATGCTTGCTCTACCGTTAACCTCCGGCTGTATAGGATGCCGCTTGCCTCGCCCGAGTCTTCTAAGAAGTCTGTTGTAAGCTAAGGACCTGTAGCCACTACACCTTACACCCCGTAAGCTCTTTATCGTCTGGTTCCGAAGAAGCAAACCCGAGTGCCGCGGAGACCCACTAGCGTGCTTGCGCATGCGAGCGAAAGAGGATCCGATCAGATTACCCTCGCCATGCACGCTTCTATGATTGTAATAACCGCGATAATGTAGGCAGCAGAACCTTTGTGTACAGAGTTCAGGATCTACTTCGGGTTATCTGCTGCTTCGAGCAAATTATAGCCACTGCAACAGTCTGGCTGGGCTACAGGTTGGATTTAGGATTCAATGAAATTAGGGAGTTGGCATTTGGAAACTCTAAACCCCAAACCCTGAACCAGAGTCTTTGTGGTTGTTTGCTGAGGGTCTCGTTCGGCCTCAACCAGCAACCTTCAACCAAATCTCGGAAACCTCATTACCCTAGCCCTTTAGGACGCTCAATTCCTTATGTACGGGCAGTGCAAACTGAGTGGTTGGTAACATGATATCAGATTTTCCATGTAGGCCACTATATTTCAACTTATCGCAACGGTTCAAAGTTGCTACAGCGCATATATGATTATATTTAGCTACAGCCCCCAAACCCTCGTGGTGAAATCTGCAGATTAGCTTCTAAAGGGAGTAAAGGGCAGGAAGCAAAAGGTAGACACCGAGACACCCACAAAACCGCTCGAGTTCAGGTTTCGCATGGAGCAAGGATTCCTAGACCAAGCACGTGCTTTTGTTGTGATTCCTGTGGTTGTTACCTTTGTTTGTTTATTAAGACGTTGGATCAAAGCCCCCAAATGGAGCTACACTAGGGTGTCTAGTTTTTTTTGCAGAGAAAGTCCCGAAAGCCCCAAGGAAAGTCAACTCCTGAACCACAAAACCCATTTTGTCCAACCCTGAGCCCTTTAAACGCAAAGCCCTACAAATTCTTCGGCCCTGGTCCGATCGCAGTAGCAGCGAACAAGTTTGATATTTATGGCTTGACTAGTGTTTATAGGAACTAAACCCTACCACGTATTTGGGACCAAACCGCACCCTAAACCTCGAAACCCCAAGCCCTACAGCTGAAACTAAGCCCTGAAACCAAAACCCGAAAGCCTAAACCCTAGGTCCCTAAGCCCAGCAAAACGGGGGTGCATTTGGGAGGCTACTCCTTGGGAGGTCGGGTGGCCATGGCTTTTGCTGAGAGGCGGGCGGTTTTAGGGTTTAGGGGTTTCGGGTTTGGGGTTTAGGGTTTAGGGTTTAGGGTTGAGGGTTGGTGGGGCTTCGAGCTTCTGGAGATGACGGTGTAGGGTTGAGGGTAATACTTGGAGGATCATGGGACTTAGTTAGCAAGGTTATATGTTCTATGTACTTTAATTAGGGTTATGTGTAACTTGTCGTATAGCTGCATAATAACGACCCTAGTTAAAAAGTCCCCGGATCTTTTGGGTAGGGGGCTTTACGACGACTGTGCGGCGGGGTGGTGAATTGCAGCAGGTTTCAGAGTGTTCTTTTCATAGGATTGATGATATAAAAACTGCATAACCCATAATAAGGAAAATACCATAATTCTCATAGTGTAGGGACCTTAAGGTAATGCAGGATTTATATCATCAACCGCAGGTTGCACTTCTGCCTTAAAAGAGCAGCCGGGCTAGGGTTAACCCCCGGGTTTGGGGTTTAGGGCCTACTTGGACCCTGAAGAACCTTCCTTTTTAGGGTTCCCTCATATGATTTCCTTATGTAAGTCCTCAGAAAGGTAGGTTCTTCAGGGTTAAGGTAGGGTTTAGGGTTTTTTCTTGAGGTTGATCTTTGACTAGCCCCCGAAGCAAGCCGGACATGCAATGTGGGGGCTTGGACTGTCAGAAAGTAGGTTTGGGGGAGATCGTGGTAAACCTACCAGGTACGATCAACAATATTATAAACCCGAATCTGAACCCCTGCGCCCACCTCCCCTCCACGTCCAATCACGAAGCCCAACAAGCCTCAAATGCAAAGCCACAGGCAAGCCTACATCCACACCCCGAAACCCCAGATGCGAAAATACTTCAAGAGCCTAAAGCCTTTAATGGCCGTGTTGCCAGTCTATAAGCATTGCGAGCTCCCAAAACCCTATCTTTCTGAGGACATATAAATAGTCAAAGGGCTCAGCCCTAAACCGTGGGTTCAAGGGAAGCACTGTAGCCCCTAAGCCCTCCGCCGTGCGTGCAGTTACCCAAAGAAGTGCATCGGCTTAGTTGCCTTGTCGGAGTCTCAGTGAGTTGTTTAAGCCAGCTCAGGGTTCAGGGATCATAGGGTGTTGTGGGGTCTTCAGGGTTGGGTTGACTGACTGGCTTCGTGGAAAGTGGGTTGACTGACTGGCTTCGTGGAAAGTTGCTTTTCTGTAAGGCTCCATGTGCCTTTAGCTCCATGTGTGTGTGTCTCTCTCTCTATATATATATTTTTTTTGTGAGCACATATTATAGTCGCATGTGTGTGTATATATCTATATGTATATAAAGACAGGGACAGAGAGAGAGAGAGAGAGAGAGAGAGAGAGAGATAGAGAGAGATACTGGGTGATAGATAGAAAGATGGATAGATAGTAGGTACTTGTGCCTTTAGGGGTTCCGCATGGGACCTTAAGTTGTCGGTGTTTTGCGTTTACTTTTTTGGGTGCACAGCAGTGCTCAAGGTGTCGAGATGGGGCTGAGAGGCTTAGGATGTCGTGTACCTTAGAAGCTGCCCCCACCCTGTAGTAGTGGTATAATAGGACTATAATAGGGCCCTAGTATAATCCTATATAATCCTTATAGTCACTATTACAGGGTGGGGGCAGCTTCTAAAGTGTACCGTTGTAACTGGGCTTCTTTAGGATTCACGCCGACAGTGATCAAGAGCTTCCCACGGTACAAGGCTTTTGGGCACAAGGTTGTCCGCTTGTCAGGTTTGCTTTCAAGCCCAGTCACCAAAAAAAGGGTTCTGTGGTGTTTATGCTGTGCCCTTTAAAACCGGAGTACAGATGCCGATTCTATGCAGGATCTTCAGAAAAGATGCGACCCCAATCTTGACCAACGGAGTAATGGAATCCCACTTCTAAAGACAGTCGGGGAGGAGCTCTATTTCCAACATTTCGCCATCCAGTTTACTGGGCTTCTAGATTCTAGTTAGTGGGTTTGAATAACTGGTGTTCGGCATGCCAGGACATCTTTCGGTATTGAGGGTTGTCCAGTGAAGTGAGCACCGTCTGGGTAGGCTTTGTTGAAGTCGTGTGGCCTAAACTGATTATGATTTCCTGATGTATGTCCATAGAACGGGTTGGTTATTCAGGGTCCGGGTAGGGTTTAGGGCCAGTTTAGGGCGCCAGTTCGGACCTTTGGGTGCTGATGGTTGTCTGAGTGCCAGGTCGACAGAGATTAAGTCACTTAGCCCCAAAATACGACACAGAAGTTAATCTCTGAAGCAGAAGCCCTGGCAATGTTTACCGTAGGGCTTTCTGTTTAGGTTCAGAGTAGTTTTCCTAAACCTTACAAACCCCAAACGTGTCTAGTAGCTCTAAACCCTACACCCTACACTCTCACAAGGCCTTCCCTTGACATCCCTTGACCGTCAGTTCCTGAGACTGTTTGAGTAATTACGGAACTGGAAATGTGGCGCATGTCGGGCAGATCTTCCGTCATTTGCAAACAAAATGGTTTAGGGTTTGGGGTTCAGGGTGTTTTGGGGTTCAAGGTTTAGCTTTTGGTGTTCGCGCGCAACATCACGGGTCAAAACAACCGTTCGGCAAGCTTGCAGGAAGTTGCTTGGTGTCCAGCTTGAAATATTGACCCTTTGAGCCTGTGGGTCAACGTTTAGGGTTAATGTAAAAAACAAAGAACAACAACGGAGAGAGAGAACTTACTCCGAACAAGAACAACAATAACCAATAACCGTCATAGGTATTCATGAATATCTTAGTCCAACCGAACACTGCAATAATTGTACTTCTCGCCCTAAACCCTAAACCCTAAACCCTAAACCCAAAATCGAACACTGCAATAATTCTACTTCTCGCAAGAAAAAACACTAAAGCAACGCAGATCTCCAGGTCAGCAAATCCCGGTCTGCAGAGCCCAGGCGCCACCCCGGGATGTAGGCTTTAAGGTTTACCCAGAGGGTCTAGGGCTCTAAGGGTTTACTTAGGGGTACTTAGAATTGTTTTTAATTTTTGGGTTGTTATAACCCCTAAGAAACAGCTAAAATTATAATTTGTGCTAGGGTTTTAAGTTCAGTATAGTTTAGGGTTTAGGGGTTCCAAGTGCTCTCTATCATAGGACACTAAGGCATTTTTAGGTACCAAAAGCCATAAATAGGGACTGCTTGGACCTTAAGGTTTAGGGTTTGGGGCTTTTAGGGTTTAGGGGTTAGTTGGTTCTCGTTGTTTTAACTTAAGGCTTTTAAGTTGCAGCCTTTAGCGAGTTGTGATTTGTTGTTTAGGGTTTAGGAGTACGAGAGTTTACGGTTCAGGGCATGTAGAGCCGTTGGTACAGACCCCACGGGACGCGAAATGTCAACTGGGAGACATCTCTGCAACTATCCTATCGGGGCTCCAAGGGGGTTGCATGGTTCCCTAAACTTGAAACCCCAAACCCTAAACCCTAAGTCGATTTCTACAAGCTCCCCAGGGGGATGTTGTCCAAGTAGGGAGCTGCGTGCTTCCCTGAACCTCAAACTCTAAACCTAACCCTAAACCGAATTCTACAAGCTTTCAAGGGGATGTAGTCCAAGTAACTGTGTAGAATGTGCTTATGATGATGGATGTCCCTCAGCTAGGCTAAGACTATATGCTCTGAACGGCTGCTGGTATGCAACACCTGCTATGTAGGTGCGCTGACCTTCAGGGTATACCGCCGCGCCTGCTCAGAACACAAAACCCAACAAAATCCTAAACCCTAAACTCACCAAACAAAGTTCACTAAAACACCAAAGACCTTTAACCCTAAACTCTAAACCCTTAACCCTAATTAAATCCTAAACCCTAAACGTTAGGGTTCTACTCTAAAACTCACCAAAAAAGCTCACCCGCCAGGTGAGCAGCGGCAGCGCTGGCTCCAGGACTCTGCCTCGACAATACTGCTTTGGGTTTAGGCATTTCTTCAAAAAATAGGGATCCATAGGGTTTCTTTTTGAAGGCATCTATAAAAGTATAAGTATATGGGTTCAATTAAGGGGTTTAGGCTTCGGCCTCCCAGGTATATAAGCCCTAAACCCCTAAACCCTAAACATACGAATATTGGATATACATTCGGAGTCTGAAAGTCTGTAATCGCACCCACTTCAGACTATGTTGGGGTTTTGGGCTTTACTTGCAGCCCCGAACCCCGCAACGTAGACCTTATAGGATTGTAACTACTATGGGGCCTCGGTAGTTTTTAGGCCAACCTAGATCAGTAGCTTCTAAATCCTAAACCCTTATAGTAGTACCTGTATAGATAACTCTAAAGGGACCCAACTCAGGACCCGGTTTTGCATGCTTAAACCGTTTAGAGGTCTGGTCGTATAGGGGCTTTAATGATTACCTAAGGGTTCCTTCAAGGGTTCGCTTTAAAAGGGTCTAGAGGGATTACTAGGGGTATTCGTTTTTCATAGGGGCTTTAAAAGCTATTAGCGATATTATGGTGTTGTTTTTTTGGGGGGTCCTTATGATAAGTATAGTGTACTGGGCCCCCAAAACCCCATTCTAATTATTAAGGCCCCGATATTTCCTGGGTCCATGCAGGTATGGTGTCCAACTCGGGAGGTCGGTATGGTTCCGGATTGGGGACTAACAATGGTTATTGTAGCAGAATTTGGGACTATTATTGTTGTTGCTAGTAGTAGTAGTAGTAGTAGTAGTAGTAGTAGTAGTAGTAGTAATGTGGCGGTCGGTTTAGTACTAGGGTACCCCCCCCCCCCCCCCCCACCAAAAAGTTGCGGTCGGTTTAGTGCGGAACCGGGGGGTCAGGGGTCTGAGTGGCAGGGAATTGGGAGGTGCCGGGGTTTGGGGGCTGGCTTGGGTGCAGGGTCTGCGGTTCTGCGCGACTGCGCCGTCGGGGGTCGGGGGGGTCTGGGCCAGCGCCTGAAACCCTAAACCTTGAACCCTAAACCCTAACGAATCCTAAACTCCTAAACCCTATAACAAACCCTAAACCCTAAGCCCTAAACCCTTCCAAAGGGGGGTCGGTCCAGATTCGACCCAAAACTTAATTTTTTATGCAAACTTTAGTACTGGAGAGGCCTCTTTTGAGCTAGGGTCCAATCCCCCCCCAATAATCAAGGTATACTAGAATAGTACAGTAGTAGTACAGTAGTAGTATAATAATAATAGTGCAGTAGTACAATAGTAATACAACAGTAGTACAGTGGTAGTACAATAGTAGTACAGTAGTAGTACAATAATAGTACAGTAGTACAATAGTAGCACAATAGTACAGTAGTAGTACAGTAGTAGTACGATTATAGTACCGTACAATAATAGTACAATAATAGTACAGTAGTACAATAGTACAGTAGTACAGTGGTAGTACAATAGTAGTACAGTAGTAGTACGTAGTACAGTAGAACAAATAGTAGTACAGTAATAGTACAGTAGTAGTACAATAGTAGTACAGTAGTACACTAGTAGTACAGTAGTAGTACCACAGTAGTACAGTAGTACAGTAGTAGTACAGTAATAGTACAGAAATAGTACCAATAAGCAAAGCATAAAGCCAGTGAGCACATTCCCCCAATAAGCAAAGCATAAAGACAGCGCCTGAAACCCTAAACCCTGAACCCTAAACCTTAACAAACCCTAAACCCTAACGAATCCTAAACTCCAACCCTAAACCCTAAGCCCTAAACCCTTCCAAAGGGGGGTCGGTCCAGATTGGACCCAAAACTGAATTTTTTATACAAACTTTAGTACTGGAGAGGCCTCTTTTGAGCTAGGGTCCAATCCCCGATTCGGCGGTTCACCCTAGCAGGCCCCCCCAATAATCAAGGGTAGAATAGTAGTAATAGTAGTACAGTAGTAGTACAGATTTTCATTCCTGACGCCCCAATAAGCGAAACAATTCTGCAAGAGATTTTGGGGCTTCAGGGCCAGGGTTTTAGGGTTGGGTGGGGGTTTGGGTGGGGGTTTAGATCGTGGCTGCCTTAAGATTGACCATCAGCAAATAGCACAGCCCCGCCACCAAAAAATCACCCCAGCCAAAAAAAAAACGCATTAATTAGTTTTGGTACCGGTCGGAATTAGCCCCCGAGCCGACGCATTAAAGGAGCCCATATTCCTAAACCGACCGGCACATTAGTAGTAGTAGTAGTAGTAGTAGTAGTAGTAGTAGTAGCAGCGTCGCAGCCATGAACGGGGATGCGGCGGAGGACTATCGGCGAATGCCGACAGCCGACAGAGAAGGGCTGGAAAACTGGAAGAATCCAATCGGACATTGAACTGGGACGACAACGCCGTTTGCGAGTGCTCTACTATATAAGCCCTGCACCCAAAAGGCGAAATCCGAAACCGCAAAGCTGAGACTTTAGACCCTTATCCCCAATCTCCAAGCCTTAAACCCCCAAGTGTTTCCAAAACCGAAGCCGTAAGCTGTATGCCACAGAACCCCAAACCTTCAGCCCGAATGACCGCCAACTACCTCGCAATGAGGAGTGTAACACCCGTTTACAGCATATTTGGGGGGCTCAAGCAAACCCTCCGCTCTGAACCGGAAGCAGATCTCCAAAAAAGTCAGTTTCCGCAGGACCAGAAGCAGGCAAAGCAACTCCTGAACTCGAATTTCGAGGAGTCTTTGCGAAGTTCTTCACATACATCTACAGTAGATCATACTCCAAGAATCTATGTATTCATGTATCTGTCTTATCTATACATCTGTTTACCTACATATGTACTTATCTAACCTATCTGTCTATTTGTTTGCCTATCTATCTATCTTGTATCTATCTACCTATCTCTCTCTGTCTATCTGTATCTACATATGCAGCATTAGCATTTGTCTTAGTAGCTGAGTGGATACACTTTACACTTTGTGGGAGAATACTACCCACTGTAAAACTGAAAGTGTGCACTTTTTGGGGCTTGTGAACTCAGCCTGTAAGGTGTACAGTGCACACATGTAGCATTCATTCTTCTCGCTGTTGACCGTATAGTCGCAACCCAGGGGGCCCGAAGTGGTTCAGGGTTTAGAGTTTAGGGTTTAAGGTTTAGGGTTTAGGGTTTAAGGTTTAGGGTTCAGGGTTTAGGGTTTCAGGTTTAGGGTTTAGGGTTTAAGGTTTAGGGTTCAGGGTTTATCATAACTGAGTTCGATCTCTTCACTCGTCATGGGAGGCTAGAGCGGGGCTTAGGGGTTGTAGGGCTTTGAGTTAGTTCAGTGTTTTTGGGCTTCGGGCAGGGCGGTTTAGTGCCTTTTGTTTTCCCATCAGTTGTTGTCTTTGTGTTCTTGGGTGGCATGTGTTTAGGATGAATGGTAAGTATTTGCCTCTTTGTTGATGCGGATTGTTGCAGTTTGTGTTTGCTTAGCTTCAGGCTGGCGACTGTGGTTTGGGCTACTTGGGTTTTATAGGCTTGAGTTCAGGATCGATGCGTGCGCATATGTCATGCATGCATTCATGCATGTATGCATTGTAGGTGAATGCTGCATCTACGGTTTTACATACACATCGTTGAGTAGATAAATTGCCATACACAGATTTAGGTTTAGATACAGTGTTGGGACTCCGTTTTAATAGGCCCTGGCAAGGCTACGCGCATGCACGTGCGCATTAATATCTAGGCGTCTACGCGTAGGTGAATCTCTATGCTTGATATGCGATGATACGAATTTCTCACGCATGTTAGACTTCCCATAGATCGGATAATTTGCCCAAGATCCGCAACCTGTTTCTGCTGAATCAGCCGTCTACTCAATTTGTTCCCTGCCATGATCGTCGTTTCATAGCAGAATGCGCAACGTAGCCGACCACGAAGATCCTGAACACAGGCCCAGATGACTTGACTTCTACTAGGGTTAATGGGAACAAAGTTCAGTCGAAGTCTGATTGCACGAACACTTCGTGCACGCCATGCCATTTTCGAAGGTGAGAATCCCGTCTTTGGTTTACCCAACTCATGCTACGATCCTATATTGAAGAACACGGAACCAGCGCATAAGCAACCACCAGGCGAAGCACAACGAAACAGCCAAAAGCTCTTAGTAGGGATAGAACACTGCCAGAACCTAAAACAAAGCGCAGCTCTGCAGGAGTTCTTGGACAGGTGGTACGCGGCTCCGCTTTGGGGAGGATGGATCCCGGGAGGGCTGTTTAGGTTCATCATGTAGATTTCAGGAATTAAGGTCTCGAGTTTAGGGTGGAGAGTTGGCAGGTTTCAGGGTTTAGAGCTTGGGTTTAGGGCGTAGTGTACTGAAAGGGAACAGGGCCGGAAAATGCAGTTCAATGCAGCAAGTCTTGGGTGACGGGCAACCGCAGGATTTCGGGGAGTGGCGCAACATTTGTTGTTTTGGGCCGACGGGCTTGGTGATTTATCTTGGTCGTGCCGATGCATTTAGCATCCACGTTTTTTTGCTTAGGGATTGTACAGAGTCCATGTAATTAGGGTGCTGGCAATAAGCTTTGGCCCAGACCCATAATTTCACTCATCTCTGCCGTTAATGACTGACAAGATTAACTTCATTCCGAGACTGTCTCCTAAACCAAACCATACTGTCCCAAACCCCTGATCCTAAGGTTTGTGAAACAGGCGAATTCCAAATTGGAAAGAATTCATTTGAATTCATTTCTCGTGCCAGTGGAGCCATGTACGGGTCCATGCATTGGTGCATATCCGTATGCACATCTAGCGTGTACGCGAGTAAAGTAACCCGGAGCGCCTTTGCGACTACAACTCCAAGCCCAATCCGATTGTGAAACCATAAACACTGAACCTTATGGGGTTTCAGGAACAGAAACACACCCGTTTAGGGTGTGCGATTTAGGGGAATTCAGGGCCTTGGCGCCCTTAGACCTACATGAAGCTTCAATCTTCAAAAGACCTTATAGACCTGCGACCGCTGGCAGGTCTCAAGGAGCGACAGCCAGAAGTGTACAGTCGGATGTGCACCTGGCGGATTTTGTTTTTTAATTTGTACGCCGGGTTTCGGTTTATAACTCAACTTTGCTTCCTTTTTGGGGGGATTCCTTGTAGTTGCAATTCAATAAGGGCTGAGGTATTTTTTGCAAAATTAAAAGGTCTCCTCAAGAGAGCAGCTGAGAGAGAGCTTCCGGGGAGCCTCTAAAGCCTGCAAACACCTTACTTCAACCCAGACCCCCGGGAGGATCTAGAAAGTAGATCCCCTAATTTGGGGGCTTAGTAGGGTTCCTTAAAGGGCTCCTTTAAGGGATCCTTTAGGGTTTAGGGTTTAGGGATCTATAAGGAAAGTAGGTCCCCTAATTTGGGGCCCTATGCTACTCAGGGTACTGTATAGGAACCCCCATTCAGGGATCTACTTTTTGGATGCTCCCGGGGTTCTGAGAACACAAGTCCGTCACAGAAACTCAAGAGATGCCCCGTAGCTAAGATTGTACACACACACACAGAGCTCTGAACATCTGACCTGCCAGACACCGCAACTTCATTAATCGTGGATACTTGCTCCTGAACTCGAAGACCCCAGATTCTGAGACACTTGCATAGAAGCCCCCTATACACACAGAAACTACCAAGAAACACTAAGCCCGTAAACCCCAAGAGGCTGACATAGAAAGCCCAAAAACCCTTAATCCCGAAGATATAGAAGAACTCAACCCTAAACCCTAAACCCCTTAATACTCCAAACCCTGGTAGACCAGCAATTCGGCCCCCCAAACCCGTAGACTCTAGACCTGAACCAAAGGTTCGTGTCATGAAAGAATGCCGTTTTTCCATAAAGGGTTCTCAAAAAGCATCCTATTAGGCTTCCTATAAGGGCCTTTGTAAGGGGGGCTCTAGGAGTTGTAGTATAGGGGACATAATAATTGCCTATACTATACTTGCATCAGGATGTAAACAAAGTCCAGATGTCAGGTTGGCAAAGCGTCGTACTGTGCGGCCGCGGGGGACCCATCTTGAGCTTAAGGTCAGTTGTCATAGCATTCAGAGCCAGTCCATGGCGGCCGGCAGGTGGGGATAACAATGCTCTGCCCCAAACCCTGAACCCTGAACCGTCAATGCTATGGGACGTTTGGAGTTTCGGAATCAAAGATTGGGTCAGTCAAAATAGCTGTCGATTTCGGATGTCGGGGGTTATGATCTTGTATTCCAGTGAGAACCCTGAGTGCATGTAACATATCCCATCAAGATCGAGCGAACATGTATTTGCAGTCTTTTGACACTCGTTGAGGCCACTATAAAACCCTAAACGCCTACAGCCAGAGCCTCAGCCCCCGAAAACGACCCGCCATTTCACCCAGACGGGTCATCCCTAACTCCTACACCACCCTTTCAAGCCCGATGTGATCTTGCAAAAACATTTCTGGTGGTAGAGGCTTCGGTAGTGTGCGATTAGTCGTATAGGTCTGAGCCCTAAGTTTTACATCCGCAAACATAAACCCAAAACCCTAAACCTAAACCCGAAACCCCAAACCCTAAACCTAAACCCCAAACCCAAGACCAAAAACAGAGTTCAAGGCAGATGGCTGCCTTGTCTTTGCTTGGGACTGCGACTCAGCATTTCTCGGATGATTCGCAGCATGCCAACAGGTTGCTGCTAGACGTCCGTGCCCAACGACCAGGCTAGAACTACTATAGAAGCCTCAGTAAAAGATATCAGACCATACCCCAAAGCCCATTTTATGCTTCCAGCCCGGTCTTGCACCCAAGACTCCTAGACCCCAAACCCTTTAAACCATATCGCCATGCACTTAAGCCGTGTTCATATTGGTCTTCAGGTTGTCTTGTTCCAGATTTGTGGCTTGGTAGGTTAGGGTGTAAGGTTTTGGGTTTGGCACTTAGTGTCAAGGACCTCAAGGGAGTTTATGGTACAGGGCTTAGTATTCTGATGTAAGGCTTTTGGGTTTGGCGTTCAGGGTGAATGACGTCAGTTAGTACCACCAACTATTGAGAGGCCCTAAACCCTAACCGATATACCTGGAATCTTTAGAACACTGTGGAGGCTGTGACCTTGCAAGTCCCCGGCAAGTGAGCTTCAAAGAAAGTATTAATATATGATATATTTACCTAATATATATATATATATATATATATATATATGTATGTAGATATACAATTATACATATATATATATATATATATATGTATGTATGTATGTATGTGTGTATGTATGTATGTATGTATGTATGTATGTATGTATGTATGTATGCATGGATGTATGTATGTATGTATGCATGTATGTATGTATGTATGTATGTATCAGGTTTTGGGTTGTGCGAAAAAGCGCCAACCTCGAATCCGACGATCAGAGTCGAAAGTAGCCAGGAAAAGACGGCGGCAAGACAACAGCAGAGACATGCACATAGACAAGTGCATATAGTGTATAGATGTGGACAGAAAGACAGATGCCTGCACAACATCCATCCATCCATCCAGCCAGCCAGCCATCCATCCGTTCATGTTCGTGTACACTCATGCCTGCGTGCAGACATACATTCGTTCACTCCTTCATACATACATAAAGACATAAACACATACATACATGCACTCATTCACTCAATCATACATAAAGACATAAACACATACATACCCTCCCTACGACTCCACATACGCCCCATACCGAGAGATACGAGAAGCCGTAGGTGAAAACCTCGTAACCTCAGAGCCTCCAAAACCCCTTAATTAAGGAATATACCTTAAAATCGTTTTCGGGATCCTATTTTAATTTTAAGGTATATTCCTTAATTAAGGGGTTTTGGAGTCTCTGGGAGCCGTGAGGTCATCTCTGTCTCGACAGCCGCCATGCTGGTCCCCACCGTGTCCGCTCTGGCCGCTGGCTTAGGCCATAGTCTCCTTAGGGGTTTAGGGTAGGGTTCCTTTAAAGGGATCTATACGGGTACCTTTAAGGGGTCCCTTTAAGGGATCCATTTAGGGGTTTAGGGTTTTAGGGGTTTTAGGGGTTTAGGGGTTTAGGGTTTAGGGGTTTAGGAATCATTTGAGTTCATATAAAACCCGAGAGAGTATTAAGCATAGTATAGAGGGGTGCAGACTAGTATAGAATAGTAGAGAGTATGAAGCACAGACTGCGGCGGCTGATGATGCTCAAGTGGTGGAGCTCGAGATCGAGACCTCTGAGAGTGACGCGAAGATGGCCACCACCAGGGAGTCGGCACCGACCCCTCCCGCCCAGAGCCTCCAAAACCCCTTAATTAAGGAATATACCTTAAAATCATATAAGGGATCCTACTATAATTAAAGGGATATTCCTTAATTAAGGGGTTTTGGAGTCTCTGGGATCAGCCTCAGACCCACCGGCTCTTCGCCGTCAAGACAAGGGTGCTTTCCTCCGACAGCTACCGTGTCGCCGAGGCCCACGGCTTGGACCGTCGCGGCTTGGACGTGCCCGACCCCCCAGAGAGAGACTCCAATATCCCTTAATTACGGCATATACCTTAAAGTATAATAGGATCTCTACTATGATTTTAAGGTATATTCCTTAATTAAGGGGTTTTGGAGTCCCCTAAACCCTAAACCCTATAGATCCCTTATAGATCCCTTTAAGGAACCCTAGGTATATTCCTTAATTAAGGGGTTTTGGAGGCTCTGGGGACCCCGTCACCCCGAAGATGCCGGGTGAAGCACGCGAGGCCACTTTGGACCATCAGTCGACGTCTTTGAGGGTTTAGGGTTTAGGGTTTAGGGTTCTGCCTTGTTATCAAGAGCCCTGAACCCTAAAGCGTCCAAGTAGTCCTTATTTATGATAAGTTATGGTCTGTAATTCCTAAAAAGACCCTCAAGGCCTATAGCTATGGTAAGGGGTACTTGGGCCCTCTGGGTTTCGTTATGGTACCCCTTAGAGGAGCCTTAAACTATGATGTATAGACTCTCAAGGAACCCTTGAGCTCGGAACCCGGCGATTCCTGTAAGCCCCAAACTTCACAGGCCGGTCCGGGGGTTCAGAGTTTAAGGTTTAGGGTTTAGGGTTCAGGGTTTAGGGTTTAAGGTTTAGGGTTCAGGGTTTAAGGTTTAGGGTTTAGGGTTTAGGGTTTAGGGTTTAAGGTTTAAAGGTTTAGGGTTTAGGGTTTAGGGTTACTTTTTGGGGGGTCCTTATATTATAATATGTATACTATATAATAACCCCCCTCCCCCTCCCAAACCCTATTCTAGTTATTAAGGCCCCTGCATGGATTGGGGGGGCTGTGGGCGAATTAGTTTGAGCAGCCCGACGTCGTGGTGCTTGAACCTTAGAGGATTCGGTCCGGGCCCTAATATTAGGGACCCAAAAAGCACATAAGCACAAGCATTTGATAGGGATATCCCTACCCTTTTGGGCTTCATTATAAGGGGATATATATGGGATATCCCTACCCTGATTTTTGCTTATGTGCATTTTTGGGGCCCTATAATAAATCCTATGGAAATCCTAGACCCTAAGCCCGGAACCCTATACCCTAAGCTTCAAAACCCGCAACCCTTAAAGGAGCCCTTAAAGGAACCCTTAAAGGACCCTCTAAATTAAAGCCGAGAGTCCTAGCTGATGTCGGGGAGATTTAGATCTTGTCGATCTCATCCATCAGCGTTGCCGACCCGATATTATTTCTTATGGTTCCTGAGCATATACTTCATACTATAAAGGCGCCCAGGGCCCTGTCCTAGTTATCAAGGCCCCTACAGTATCGAGGTATGCTTACGGCGAGCTCGACGCGAAGTTTGCTGCCATTGGACGTGAAATTGTCCCACGGCAGCAGTCACAGATGAAGTAGTTAAAGAGCAATGGAAGACCAATAGGATGCTAGTCACAACATCCTCAGAAGTCACAACATCTCCCTTGCCCCTAAGATGCCTATCCCCAGTACAAGCCCTAATTAAACCCTCAAGCTCCCTAAACCCTAAACCCCTAAACCCTAAACCCTAAACCCTAAACCCTAAACCCCTAAACCCTAAACCCTAAACCCTAAACCCTAAACCCCTAAACCCTAAACCCTAAACCCTAAACCCTAAACCCTAAACCCCTAAACCCTAAACCCTAAACCCTAAACCCTCAAGCCCAAAAAGCCGCTAAGCCCAAGGAACTCCAATCCTACCTGGAGCAACTTAGTCTTCGGATGTGTCCACGGATTTTCTGGGGTTTAGGGTACTATAGGGGCCTAAATAGTTACTAATACTAGTGTGGGGAGTTCCTTATTGTGGTTATAGTATAATAATCCCTAAACCCCTAGTCTAATTACTAAGGCCCTTACATTATCCTCTCCTGAATCGCAAGCATGCAAAGCCGTAGCTGAGGCTGAGAAGTCGTCGTCGGCGGGGTCACAGGCCTGGTCCTAAAAGCTTCATTCCTATTGTTGATGGACAAAATCCTGCATGACCCTAAGGACTCTAAACTATGGGAAGTATGGTATATTCCTTATAATGGGTCATGCAACTTTTTTGTACATCAACAGTATTGAGGGTCACAAGGGTTGCGCGATCAGGGTACGTTCCGCTGCATCAGAGAGAGTGCCGCAGGTTGTTGGTTTGACCATGGGAGCATTTATCTTTCGGCTTCAACCTAGAGACCTTGACGCTGAAACCCTCAACTAAAGCAACCCTGCTGCCTGCCCCCGAAAGCTCCACTTACCTAAACAGTGGCTTACTACCCATTTTAACACGAAGCCCAACAGCCCATGTATTTCGGTACCCGGACCCCTGGGATGCTATGGAGACCTTGTAGAATCCTGGCGGGCGTCCCCATACAGGCTTCACTAAGCAATCCTAGCAGCTAAACCCTGCCATTTCCCAGAGACTCCAATATCCCTTAAGGCCTTAAGGAGTATAAAATCATAGAAGGGATCCTACGATAATTAAAAGTACATTCCTTAATTAAGGGATATTGGAGTCTCAGGGTAGCTCCTCCTGAACCCTACATCCCTCGGCCCGGGCACTGTAAACCCTTAAGCCTAAAGCCCTAGACACTACTCCAAACCATTCAGATCCCTTGTAGAAACTAGCAGAGCTTTTTGAATCCTTCAACCCTAAAATCATTATGGAGTCTTTGGAAATCCCTTATAGAACTAGCAAAACTTTTTGGAACCCTTAAGACTTAAACCCCTAACAGCATTATGTCAGGTTCACGTCCGTGCGTTGACGAAGATCGGCCACGCAGTCGTTGAGGAAGCTCCCTTTGAGGTACCCAGAGGGTTCAACTGTTGATGATATAAATCCTACATTACCTATTAAGGACCCTAGACTATGGGAATTATAGTATATTCCGTATATTCCTTATTTATGGGTAATGCAGGATTTGTATCATCAGCCGAAGTACCCAGATTCTGGTGGGTTTGGAGTTGAGGGTTTCGGGTTCATCGATCGGTTCAGTGGTTTAGGAGTTAGGGTTTAGGGTTTAGGGTCGGGATCGGTCCAAGTACCCAGTTTGTGGGTTTAGGGTCCAACGAAGAGGGCTTGTCTCCGAAGGTACAGCAGATTTTGGGAGATGTGAAGAGGGCGTGTTCCTGTGCAAGGGATTGCGAGTGCTTGAGCCCAAACCTATATGAACTCTGGTAGAATAGACTCGAGACCTAAATAGCCTGAATTAAACATATTTCGAGAGCAATGGATTTGGGTAGGGGTGGCGCAGGTTCGGGGGTTTCGCAGTCTATCCGATTGAATATGTATAGGCCAGCTCCCCGGACGCTACTGCCAGCATGTCAGCATGTGGAGCAGCCGGAGGAGCAGCGAGGCCTTTGTTCCTGCGAAGGATTTCGTCTGTTCACAACACGACAGTCTGGATCCTAAGCACCAAACCTTAAAGCTAAACCCCTCAAAGCTAAACCCAAACCCTTAAACACCATCATATATGGGAGTTTCCGAAAATAAGGGACCCTCATGTAGTACCCTAAAGGGTAGGATCCCTATCATAAGGACCCCCAAAATAAGGTACCCCTATTTTCGGAAACTCCCATATCCTAGACTTTCTGCGACGGCAGGTGGCCAAATTCATTGCGGAGGCTGCAGACAGTTTCGCCTCTCGCCTGTCAGTGGACCCTGAGTAGCTCAGATCCCTACATCGGGCCAGCCCTACCTGTGCATGCAAGACCCTAGTATCACAAAGTCTATAACTTACCGTAAACCCTAAACCCCCCAACACTAACCCAGAGAGCCCAATGCCCTTAAATGAAGGAATATAGCTTAAACCATAATATAAAGGCCCTTCGAATTTAAGGTCTATTGCTTAGTTAAGGGGTGTTGGGCTCTCTGGGAAAGTCTACAGTAAAAGCCAGAAAGTTGGAATATGATTATCGTAACCCCTTTAAGGTAAATTAGAGGGGATCCTACCATTAAACCATATTCCAACTTTCTGGAGTTCCCTGTATAACCATCAGGTGTTAGGAGTTTAGGCTTCCGGCTCCAGCTCCAGATTCATAGGGATCCTTAGGGGTGTAGGGGGAGGGGGGGTAGGGGGCCTTAAGGCCCATAATAAGGACTAATAAGGCCTATTTAAGGAAATATAGTCCCCTACACCCCTCCCCCCTACACCCCTAAGGATCCCTATGACAGATCTTGAGCCAGAAGCAGAGCTTCAAACCATGCAAGCAGCCGCTATCAACCCCACCGTGGCTTCAAGCAGACCTGAACCCGTGGATAAAAGGGGGAGGGGAGTGTAGCGGTATAATATACTATAGTCCAGGATGCCCAGTAGTACCTTTATTCCCTTTTTGTAGTTTTTGGTTCCTTATAAAGGTACCCAATACCAAAGAGGGAGCCCTTTTTGTTCCTAGGTTACTGGGCATCCTAGTAGTGAACAATTTATATCTATAGCTGTCTGTCCCGAAGGGAACCCAAATCTCTAAACCGCGTCCCGAAAGATCTTCCGCGCTTTCGCGTTGAATGCAAACCCGTCATCCCCAACACCCCAAGACCACTCTCCCTGAAGCTCCCATCTTCCGACATAATCAGTCTATGGGAGTTTCCGAAAAAAAAGGTACCCTAATGTAGTACCCCAAACAGTAGGATCCTTGTTAAGCCTTGTGTTATAAGGACCCCAAAATAAGGTACCCCTAATTTTCGGAAACTCCCATATACTTAGGCCCTAAAGTATCTATGTAGAAACATGCAGGAACCTCTTTCAAGGCCGAAAAAAAGACTAGAAAGGTATGTGGAGCCTTTGGAGACAGCAACCCTTAACCCCAAACCCATCCCAACATCCTTCAATCGCCTAACCCCGAAACAACTCAAGTCAAGCCCCAAGTTAAGCCCCAAACATCCAACTGCACATTTACAAACAGTCATGCCATCCCGAACCCGCCGTCAAAGTCAGCAAACTGTTGTTACTGCTAAGCATCCCTCACCCCCCCCATTCCGAGAAAGCCAAAAAGCCATGCTTATGGGTTGCTCAGGGCAGCTCATCCTCTTCGCGACCGAGAGAGGCACTCCGCCGGTTTAGGGGGTTTCTTCTGGGTTCGTGCTGGAATTAACTGGCCTGTACATTCATGCTTGACGAGGGGGCCTGTGGCACACCATACAGCCACAGGCAGCCAAATGTCAAGACTACATACATCCATATACCTACCTACCTACGTACGTACCTACCATACTTTCCTTCCTGTCTACCTACCTCCCCTGCATACCTGCTGCGTGCCCGCCGCTTGCCCGCCTGCCTGCCTGCCTGCCTTTCTGCCTGCCTGCCTCCTGCTCGCCTGTCTGGCGGCATGCATACATACATGCACACACACACACACGTGCACACATACATTATATATAGATATAGAGATACATGACATGCATACATGTGTGCATACAGTTGCATAGATACTTACACACACACACACAGGTACATACCTACCTACGTACGTGCGCACATACATACACACACACATGAATGCATGCATGCATACCTACTCACATGCTCACATACATGCATGCATACATACGTGCGTACCTATGTACTTTTACCTACTACCTACCTACCTACCTACGTACCTACCTACCTACCTACCTACTAACTACCTCGCTGCCTACTACCTAAACACATCCATGCATGCAAACATACATAGCATAGCACAGCCTAACATGGCGAAGCACAGCGCAGCATAGCATAGCATAGCATGGCGTTGCGTACCAAAATAACACAGCATAACATAGCATGGCAGCACCCTGACTCATACCATGTCTGTCATCAGACAAGCACACACATGAATGGAAGACAGACAGAACCGCAGACGCACGGACAAACGGACCTTAGATGCAGGATTGGCTAGATCGACAGATGGATATGTAGGAAAGTATACAGTATAGGCAGGTAGGTAGGTAGGTAGGTAGGCACACGGAGGTAATTACCTACAACATACAAGAATATACTTATGTATACACATATACTTATATATGTGCGTATATATATATATATATACAGATGTATATATATATATATATATATATACATGTATATTTATCCAGATAGATAGATACGTGCATGCATACAAAGATGCAAAGATACATAGATAGATCGATCGGTATCTATATACACGTACATATATATGCAAAACAGCAAAACACACATCAACAAGAAAACACACACACACATACGTACATGAATATAAACATATGCATGTTAATATACACATATGCACATATGCACTATATGTTTTATCAGCACCATTCTTAGTTGCATGCGCTGGTTTTTTATTTATATGCAACTCTACACCCAGGAGCCCGAGAGCCTACCGGCGCGCCAAAGACATGACTACACGGCTGGTATACATACCCTAAGGGTCCATGTAGTCATATAGTATATACATTGGCCTTCATGTAGTCCCTATATAGGTACTTTGGGGCCCATGTATCTCTATATGGGAACATGGACCCTCTGGGATAGGGTTTGGCTGAAACGATGTTGACCTCTCAACCTGGACGGTTGTGTCTCCAACAACCAATCTTCTCAGGGGTTCATCGCCACAACTGACCCACCATGCTCGACTGTTCTTCAGGTTTTTCTGGACCCAGAGGTCAAGGCTCCAAGTACCGTTTTTATTTTCCTGGGCTTTGGACCTTACTCCATGGAAGCCATCACCCTCACATAGTTTACGTACAACGCTTGAGCCAGACATCCTGCAGATATAGTCCCCGTGGGGCATAAGTCCCGTGAAACTCCACACATCCTATTGAGGTCCTGATGATAGCTTGAATCATAGGGATCCTTAGGGGTGTAGGGGAGGGGGGGTAGGGGGCCTTAAGGCCCATAATAAGGACTAATAAGGCCTATTTAAGAAATATAGTCCCCTACACCCCTCCCCCTACACCCCTAAGGATCCCTATGATTGAAAGCAACGCAATGAACCGCAAGACAGGAGTCGACTCTACGCCTGGAAAGCGCTTGGTCGGAGCCTATTCAGGTCATGCTGAAGGCGGAAATTCTCGACTCCCAGAGACTCCCCAAACCCTTAAGTAATCCATAAAGACCACAGGTTATGTGGGGGGGGTATCCTTATGTGTAGCCCCACATAAACCGTAACTAAACCCAAGAACACACATAGGTTCCTGGGTTCATCCCCAATCCCAAACACTGACACAGGTTCCTGGGTCAACACCAGAATCCCACAGACTTATATAGCAGATTTCTTGATTGAGGAGTGTTGGTTGTTTTCGGGGTTCCTGCTAAGGAGCAGTTTAAGCATTGCTTAAAGGATGCTTTAAGCGCGATGTGCAGAATTCTATGAGGGTTCTTTAAAGGTTCTGCTAGGTGGATCTTTAAACCCGAAGCCCTAAACCCGAAACCCTAAACCCTAAATCCCTAACCCCTAAACCCTAAACCCTAAATCCCTAACCCCTAAACCCTAAACCCCTAAACCCTAAACCCTAAACCCTAAATCCCTAACCCCTAAACCCTAAACCCTAAACCCCTAAACCCTAAACCCTAAACCCTAAATCCCTAACCCCTAAACCCTAAACCCTAAATCCCTAACCCCTAAACCCTAAATCCCTAAACCCCTAAACCCTAAACCCTAAATCCCTAACCCCTAAACCCTAAACCCTAAATCCCTAAACCGCAAGAAGATTTTTCAGTTCTTGCTTCACAACTGCCTCTGAGCCCTAGAAGCCGAAACCTCAAGATGCGGCTAAGCCCTGAAGCCCAAGTCCCTGGCAAAAGACACGGTTTTAGGGCTTAGGGCTTGTAGGGGTTAGGGCTTATAAGCCCTTTAGGGGTTTAGGAGTTTAGGGCTTAGGGGTTTAGGAGTTTAGGGTTTAGGGGTTTAGGGTTTAGGTTTTAGGGCTTAGGGCTTATAGGGGTTAGGGCTTAGGCTTTAAGGTTTAGGGTTTAGGTTTTAGGGCTTAGGGCTTATAGGGGTTAGGGCTTAGGCTTTAAGGGTTAGGGTTTAGGGGTTTCTGTGTTGGGGTTGCCTTGTCTTCGCTTTATGATGGGACCCGATACATAGAACTTGCAGACCCGAACAGAGAAACGTCATGCAGAGACGCCCTGTAAACCTTAAATGCATGCTAAGACCTGGCAGCAGCATGGCAGCAGCACGCAGCATCCCACAGAAGAGTCTCGAGGATTCGCCGCTAGATGGGTCCCGAAACTCCTAGAATACTGGGGTTTTAGGGAAGTTTAAAGCTCAAAGTTTGGAGCTTATCCGTGAGATGTATCTTCGAGGGTTTATGCTTGAGGAGTCCGAGTTTCAGTGGTCTGGGATCTGTCAGGAAGGCCTTAGTGGCTGTAAAACAAACTTTTCAACTTTTGGTTGGAATGGGTTGTATGTTGCCTAGGATAGCAATGAGAGAGGGTTGTTTGGGGGGGTAGAGAGCTAAAGAGGGGGATGGGAAAACAGTAGAGGTGATTCTTAAGGTTTTGGTTTTGGTTTTAATGGGGTTGTATGGTTTTGAAAAAAGCCGCATAGCTGTAGTGCTCGAACGTAGTCTTGACCTTGAACTTTATCCTTTATCCCTAAACCCTAAAGATTAAAGCCAAAATACCTATCCTTGCACCTTAAAACGCCTACACCCTGGAAAGCACGGTACTAAACCCTGTTTCCCAGACCCCTAACTGCAGACTCCCATCACATCCCATCACCAAGGGCCCTAAAACTTCGTAGTCCACCCACCCTAAACCCTAAAGCCAGACTTAGAGCCTACACCCGCTGTTCAACCAAGTACCCTGCAATGCGGCTTCGTCCTTACCCTAAGTCTGAACCCAATGACACTAAACCCGAAACCCGGAATCCCACTACATTTAACCCTAATCCGCAAAACCCTAAACCACCCAAGCCCTACACCTCGGCCCCTAAATTCCGCGACCCAACTCTACATCCTAAACCCTTAACCCCTCAACCCTAAACCCTAAACCCTAATGTATCCCGGCGCCGTCGTCATCGTCTTCTTCCTCGCCTGTGCCGGAGCCTGAGGGGTTTAGGAGTTTAGGTAGGGCCCTAAGTCCCGGTTGGTTGACCCCCCCTAACCCCGCATGACTTGTGCATGATTTGTTGGGGCTCCGGTGCCGGCTCTTCGTGAGCCTGGCTCCCGGGCCCCGCTCAGTCAGGCGGTGCCGGTTCTTCGTGAGCCGGGCACCAGCCGATTGAGCTGCGAGGCTTCAGTGCCGGTTCTTCGTGAGCCAGGCGCCGGGGCCCCGCCAGTCAGGCGGTGCCGGTTCTTCGTGAGCCGGGCACCAGCCGACTGAGCCCTTCGGTGCCGGTTCTTCGTGAGCCTGGCTCCGGGGTGCTCCGGTCAGGCGGGAGCCGGCTCTTCGTGAGCCAGGCTCTCATGCCGACCTTCGGTCAGGCTCGGTGCCGGTTCTTCGTGAGCCGGGCTCCGATGCCGACCGAAAGCTCTGAGGCCTCGCCTGAGCTTTGGAGTTTCGGTCAGGCACGGTGCCGGTTCTTCGTGAGCCGGGCTCCGGTGCCGATCGAAAGCTTCATTGCCGGCATGATTGGCCCGAGCGTTTTTGCCTGGACTGGCCACCTGCCTGTGCCGTCCGGCTAGGGTTTGTTCAGGGTGAGGCCCCATTTACCCCCCCATTCGGATTCGGGATTGTGACCCTACATTCACCCCCCTAAGTTTCAGAGTGTCGTGGTATTGATTCGGGTTCGGGGTGGCTTTCAAGCCTTTGAGTGTTTGGTTCGGTCTAGGAGGGTGGTTCAACTTGGCATGCACTGCTGCATCTGAGGCCTGACCAATGGGGCCATCGCCGTCGTGGCGCTTGAACTCGTCGTGGCCAGGCACTCGCCCCAGGCGTCGAAGTGGAGCTCATTTTCTCGACAATATTCGAGCGCCATTTCACTGAGGTCTGAGTCTGACCACGAGTGTCAGTGATGATGCCCGGTGCCCGTTACTTCGCATGTTATTTTGCATCGTTGTGTCACTGACTGAGGCTTGGTCCTGGCTTGGACGATGATGACGAGGGGTGCCTGGTCCCTGGTACGGCAGGCATTGCATCTTGATTGACTGTCTCGGTGTGTGTCTGAGGCTTGACCTTGGCTGATGTTTCGAGGTGCCCGGGGCTTCGCTTGGTGTGTGTGACTGTCATTCTGTCGCTTGACTGAGGCTTGACATTGGATTTGGAGTCATCGGACGACGAGTTGAGGTGCCCGGTTCTGTTCGTCGCAAGCCCTTAGACTTTGCACTGTTGTTTTACGGAGGCCTGATCTTAGGCCTTGGGTTCATCGGTTGATGATGCCAGGTGCCCGGTTCTGCTTCGCATTGCAACATCTCATGGTGTTCCCGGTCCCTAGCCCACTCTAAGGCCACATCCAGGTTGATGCGAGGTGCCTGGTCCTGTGTCTGACACTGATGCACTTGGCCCCACTGTTGATTGAGGCCCGACCATGGACGACAACGACGAGAGGTGCCGGTACTTGGATGCGGGGCACCCGGTGCTCTTCAGGAGACTGGTATTGGCCACCGGTTAAGTTTTTTTAACAAGTTGCGACTGAGGTCTGACTTTGGATGACGACGTGCAGTGCTCGGTGCTCCGGCATGATCATGCACTTAAACTTTATTGTTGCAGTCGGTGTGTCGGCACGATTTCTCGAGGCTGGAGCCTGCTGCATCCGCTTCGGCTTCCTCGTCTGAGGACCGTGTGCTCCGTGCCTTTGAGCTCATGGTTTGCGTTGGTGAAGCATGGCTTGAGCATCTGAATGTGTTGGCTGTGCATGCTGCATCTTTCTGCTCAGACTCGTCATGAGTTCATGATTTAAACATGCCCAGTAGACTTAGAAGACTTAGACTTAGATTGACGGTGCAGTCATATCTTCTCTTCAATCGTCAAACAATCTCGGTGAATGCGGATCCTAACTTAAATCTCCTTTGATTGAGCTTCCCATCACATGTGGGCATTGGCCTGAAACTTACACTGCAGCATTGGCATTGCTTTGGAGGCTCAGCTAGGGCCTGTCAGACTCAGACTTTCGTAAAGTCTAAGTTGAGCCCCTCCTAGCTGGGAGCCTCCGAAGCCATGGCATCATCGAGCTCTTCCGACTCATCCTCGTCGTCGAGCTCTTCATCCTCGTCTTCGTCGTCTGAAGAGGCTGAGGTCTTGCCTGAGCCGAGGCCTGACAAGTGTTAGCCATGGTCGTGTGGTTGAACATGATATGATTATTTTGTGGTTGTCCTGTCCTGGCAGGCGACAGCGGCAGAAGCCCAATGCCCAGAAGAGGGCACAGCTTCGCCGCCTGAGAGAGGAGCAGGCGGCGAACACGGAAGCTGCAGAGGCGGCTGAGGCCCTTCGCGTTGCGGAGAAGGCCGAAAAGGAGGAGGAGAGGCGAAAGTCTGAAGCCAGGGCGGCTGCGGGTTCCTCCAACGACCACCTGAGGCTTTCGTCTGAGAAGAAGGAAGAGAAGAAGGACGGCAAGAAGGAGGAGAAAAAGCATGACAAGAAGGACGACAAGAAGGATGAGAAAAAGCCTGACAAGAAGGACGACAAGAAGGAGGCGAAGAAAAAGTCCGACAAGGACGACAAGAAGGAGGAGAAGAAAAATCCGGACAAGAAGGACTACAAGAAGGAGGAGAAAAAGCCGGACAAGAAGGCGGACGACAAGAAGGATGAGAAAAAGCCTGACAAGAAGGACGACAAGAAGGAGGAGAAAAAGCCGGACACGAAGGACGACAAGAAGGAGGATAAGAAAAAGGACGACAAGAAGAAGGATGACAAGAAGGCCGAGGAAGCCAAGCAGAAAGCAAAGGAGGCAGCAGCGGGTGAGGAAGCCCAGAAGAAAGCCCAGGAGGCTGCTAAGGCTGAGGAAGCGAAGAAGAAGTTGGCTGAGGAAGCCAAACAGAAGGAGGCTGAGCTGAGGAAGAGGAAGAGGCCTGAGAGCAACAAAGGCAAGGGTAAGGGACGGGGAAAGCAGAAGTCTAAGGGGAAGGGCCAGGGACAAGTGGAAAAGAAGAAGAAAGAAAAGAAGAAAAAGGATAAGAA